TGTTTGATTCGCTCAAGTTCTTAATTATTATAATTTTTATGAGCGAGATTGTAAGAGTTGGGAATTGTTGATATTATTGGTTGTTTGGTGAATATTTGGTTGAGTTGAGTTGTGTTGGAGATGATTGGTCATTATTTAATTTTGACCTTAGTTTTATTTACTATGATTTGGCTCCCTTAAGCATGGCTTTACTCTCACATTTTCCCAAATTTATCCTACCTTTTACCCTATCCTTACATTACAAGGTTTGAAGACCATCCGACCTTTGTGCATAGAGTTGTATGGATGTGAAAGTAGTTGTTTGTCAATGCAAAGAATGATTTGATATATTTCGAATCGATTACTAGGTTGAGTGCTTGTTTTCTTAAACACACGAATGTTGTGAGTTTGGGAGGGCATTGTTCACATTAAAGGGTTGGATGGAGAGCGTTCGGATACATCTTATATCCGCCACATAAAAAAGTGAAGAGTGCGTGAGCACTAGTCTTGAATTCCATATACACTTGTGGTTTGCTCTACTTGACAATTGTTAGGGAGGATGAGTAGTTGGATGGATTTGATTGGTTGACTTTGATGCATATTTGTTGGATTTGCCTTGAATTGGTTATGCTTGGTTTTAATTGATTTTTGGGGTGAAGTATGCTTTGTTTGTCGATGAGCTCTTTGCTTCGGGACAAGCAAAGGTTTGGCTTGGGGGAGTTTGATATGTTCATTTTATATAGTGTTTTACCCCCATCCCTTGGTCATATTAGTATTTTTGGCTCTTTAGAGCCACTCTTATTACTAATATGTGCTTTCTAGTGTTTTCGTAGATTTGGTATTGTTTTATAGGATATTGCAGATTTATAGCGTTTTCCCTTACTTATTTGAGCCACTACGAGCATTGGAGTAGGATCACATTCATATGACCACATTCCGAAGCCCAAGGCCGCGTTGGAGCAATCAAACCGATGATTAAGGGCTCGGCGAAGAAGAAGAGACCGAGGCAATGGACCGAGTCTTAAAGACCTAAAGAGGAAATGCGAATTGGGCCAAGAAAATAGCCCAATCGAAGAAGTCCACATATGCCCGAGTGCTCGCCCGACCAGGGATATGGCTGGTGGCTGTGTGGGTTGGGAGGGGTAAGGCTGGTGGATGTGTGGTTGGACGAGGGGTTGGGGTTTTTTTAAAAATATATAATTTTTGTAATAATTAATTATTAAAAATTAAAAAATTAACCAAAAACCTCTAACTACAGTTAAAATTTTAATAAAAATTAATCATTAATGTTATAATTAACTTAATATAAGAAATTCAATGTTACCAACGATAATAAGAAATTTTACAATTTACCAAAGAGAAAAATGAAAAATTAAGTGTTACCAAAGAGAATTATCCTAAAATTTAAAAATGTTAGCATTTATTTTTGATTCATTGTAGAAAATTTGAAGAATTAATAAAGAGTGGGAAATCCAAAATTTACAATCACTAATAAAATGTAGGAGATTGTTTTTGTAAAAAATTTATGTAGGAAGAAAAAAAGAATTTGAAAGAGACCAACCGTCAATTATTTTTACTCCATAGGAATAGAATTGTGTATTTAGTTAATTTGTTCATAAAAGCCTTTAGAAAAATGTATAAATAATCAACAATTTCCAAACATTAGCTTTACCTTGAAAAAGAATTGAAAGAAAGAAAATCATCAAAAAGTGAGAAGCTAAACGACGCTTTTTTTTTTTTTTTTATTATTATTTTAGGTAACACCCACATTTAAACATGAATGAACAAACATACCTCACGTGTATTTCATGTTTTTCTTCCTAAGAACATCTTTATTCATGAACCAAAAAAAATTGTTCATGTTACTATTCAAAAAAAAAAAAAAATACTCTCTCTCATATACATCAACCAAACAAATAATTTCCAACATCCTCCTCTTAACAATGAACCAAAAAAATTGTTCACATTACTAATCACCTGCCCCACCTCAATTTATCTTTTACTAAAAATTAAAATACATACATAATTTACAATATATTAATCAGCAAAAGTGAATTTTTGTCAAACAAACAATTTTCACAAACAGTTTGGAAAACCAAACGATTCACAATTGTTCATGGAACTATTCACCATTCCCTCATTTTTTAAACATTATTTTATTCAAATAGTAACACAAATAATTTTAACTGTTCATTGTTAAGGATGCTCTTAGCCTCTAACTTAATTTAACATTCTCTCCTCCCAACAAACCACCACCGACCGAGGGCAAGGTCATCGGACACATCAACAGAGTTAAAGTCGTGGAGGGCAAATGCCTTATTTTTTCAAAACTCTAGGGGAGAAACGCCTATAATTTTTGAAAGTCCCTACGAGATTCGAAAATTTATGCGTTTCTCCCTAGAATTTTCTAGTTTTTTTTGCATTTTTTGTTTTTATCATAACTTTTGATCCCGAATTCGGATTAAACCAAATTATATATCATTGGAAACCTCTAGAAGCCTACTTTGTAACCCAATTGGAATAAGGTCAACATCATTTCTATATTTTAAGATTTTTGTCACTTAAAAGTACTTTCTATATTTTTATTGTAAATTTGTTTTGCCTTCGTTTTGTTGCATTTGCTGAAAATGTTGAAAGAAAGTGAATGCGTAAGGTCTAGCTTATTAAATTTATTTAGTTTAGTAGTTATGTTAAAAGTGGATGCATAGTTTAGGTATGTGAGTTGTGAACTACTTGAAAACGAAAGGATTACAACTATGGTTTTGTTATCCTAAACATTAGTTAAGGTAAACGAAAATAAGATAAGCAAAAATAAGTTAAATTTAGCAAAAAAAAATTAAGTTGAAATAAGTAGATGAGAACAAAGCTTAAGTGAGTTGTTATGCCGTGAGGGAGTTTGTGTCATTGAGTGAGAAATGATGAAAAAGCAGAAGAATTTCATGTCAATGGGAGGGTTAGAGCTCTCCGTGGGTCAATGAAGGCCTAATTAGAGAGAGACAAAGCAAATGTAAAGAGCAATTTTTGTATGGTTGTATGATAACTTTCTAGAGCTTCTGATCAATTATTGAGATTTGCTATCTTGTTATGTAGAGATTACATCATTTTTAGCAAGGTATAACATTTTTTCTAGGAAATTTGATTCTAATAATCCAATCTTTGTCCGGTCTTTTTTTATTAATCCGAGACCTTTCGATTATTCCACAATAATCCAAGTTTTGGGGGGTGTTCTATTCTATTAGGCCAATGTGACCTGCTACCTGTTCTTTTCTTTTTTTTCTTTCATTTTCAATTTTTTTAATTCATTTTTAATATTTTAACTTAAAAAAACAAAAATAAAAAAACTGATTATCAGTTCTTCCCTTCCCCATTGATCCCGATAGTATGTATCCACATCCGGCAATCCCTTCCATTTCCGGCCACCCCCCACTACAACAAATTATGCTTTTTATAGCGGTTAAAAATGCTTTTTATAGTGGTTTTTGGACCGCTATTAATCGCTCCGCTGTAAAAGCTAATGTACGCTTTTTACAGCGGTTTATATAACCGCTATAACATGTGCTTTCAAGATTCCGCGCAAATTCCCAATTACAGCATGTTAAAACCGCTATAAAAGTTGTGCTGTTAATTCCATTGCCGCCAAAATTCATTAAAAAAAACATTTAATAGTGATATTTTGAAATCACTATTAAAATTAAATTTAATAGTAATAACGATATTTTTTTCTATCATAACCTAATACATGTTTCATAAAACTTCAATAATTGTATAATAAATATTATAAAAAAGAATGATAATTTTGTATTAATATTGGAAAAATGGAAATTAATAATCCCACCTTTTGGTGGTCTTCTCTAAATAGTCCCACCTTTAACTAATCTCAAAATAATCCACATTTACACCTTATCTTCTTAAAATGGTCCTTTTTACCGGTTACTTATTAAATAGGTTAAAATCACCTATTTTCCTTTTTTTTTTCAATAAGGCCCTTCTACCACCATTACCACAACCACCATCACCAACAACACCAAGACTCCAAGGGCTCACCAACCAAGCAACCACCACCAGCAAAGCCATCTCCTTCTTCGCCACTTGCCAGCCATCAAAACCCACTTTGGAATCTCACAAGTTCTTGACCCAAACTGAAAACCCGATTGTCCCTGCCACTTAAACCCACCACCAGGACCACCCAAAGTCCCAAACAACCTACGCTACCTACCATACTGAATCACTGATCACGCCTTTGTCCCACTCGAAAACAATCTACCCAACATCTAGAAACCAGACCGTACCCAACCCGAAAACCCACCCCAACACCCAAAATCCAACCCTCCCTCCACCACCAAAATCTACCTCACACTAAAAACCCACAACATAAAAACCCCACCCAACTCACTCTATAACCCGTCCCACCGATGCAGACAGGCTGGTGGTGCAGGGGTGTTTGTTAATTATGACGAGAGTGGTGAAAGAGAGGAGAAAGAAAGGGTGCAGACGCTAAGGACGGTGGTTTTGAGTAGGCAGGGGTAATAGGATGGGGGAGGTATGAGAGAGAAAGCTTTTCTAATAATTAGAATTAAAATTAAGTTAACCTATTAAACCGGTTAACAACCCATGAGGACCATTTTGAGCGGATGAAGTTCAAAGGTGGGATTATTTTGAGATTAGTTAAAGATGGGATTGTTTAAAGAAGACCACTAAAAAGCGGGATTATTAGTTTTCAATTTTCCATTAATATTTAAGATCTAATAAAGAGTTTTTCAAGGTCATAATAAAACAAACTATTAAAAAAATGTGTTCTAAGAAAAAGAAGGTAAATCAAAATACGCCAAAGTACATAAATTTGTTGATTCCTTCAACCTAGCTAATTTGTTGGACTACATAGCGCACCCACTAAGTTCTCACTTCATCAATTTGAATTTGATCATAACTTGAGAACTGACAATTTGAAAAGTACAACAAAATAGCAATAAAAGAATATTAGATAGCAATATGCACATAAAAAAAAAGTAGATACATTTTTTTATGACGAGATATTAAGTAAATCATATATATCCACATATTATAACTTAGGTGGTAATTAAGGCAATATACAATTAGGACAGAAGTTTGTTACTTTAATAAACAAATACTATATTAACAAGTCGATAGCCTAGCATTTAAATCGAACCCAATGTATAAAAAAGCTCGAGGCGCGCTGAAGCGAGAAGGGTCATACAGCGCCTAGGTGTAGGCGCGCCTCAGTGCGCCTCTTTGAAGTGAGGCGCACTGTACACAAAAAAAGTTGGCAGAAAAGGTGCGCCTCACTTGCGCCTCAAGTGCGCCTTGTGCGCTTTGGGTGCGCTTCATGCGCCTAGGCTGCGCCTTACCAAAAACGTCTCGCCCAGACCAAATTAAGCGCTTACCCCATTTCGCCTTGCGCCTTAGGCGCGCATTTTCAAACACTGATCGAACCTTGCACACACAAAAATTAACACACAAGCGCCTGTCATACTGCCACATAGGTAACCAGATAGGCAACCAGTCAACATACTCTGCCAGCGGCAGCAGTGATAGCAGCAAAATGCAGTGACAGAAGCAAACCCCAAGTAGCAAAACGACATCATATAAGGCAAAAACAAGTACACCTTCGGAAGGAGGAGGCAAATTAGGAGAGTTAGGAGATCATAAAGACACAACCGAGAAATTCAGCTCTACATGTTATATACAGTTTATAAGAAAATTTCATTCCTTATTTGTAGCAGTTAACTTGATTATTGTACTAGTCACTATAGTGACCATGCTCACTAATACACAAGCATAAAGCTAGCTCACTTTCAATAATAAGATAATCACATGAACACAAATTAAACCAAGAGGCATACCTCACTTTCTGATCTTTAGCTAGAATAATCTTTTAATGGTGACAAATCCAATAAGATCATTACTTTGAGCACCAGGTCTACTACAATCAACATTGTGGAAGTACTCAGGCTCATACCTTAAAGAATCAAAATCAGGTGATATATTGCAGAAAACTTACTTAAGTTAGCTAAGCATAAATAAAAAAAAAAAAGGATAATTAAATAACAACAAAGGTAAGTAAAGAGATGATAATCCACCTGATGGGAAAGAGATCAGCATGAAATTATTGAAGAATTCCTAAATCAAAGAGTCTAATTGGTCGGCATGCAATAAATGGATGGTGGCTTTCAAATATCTCATAGTTCAAAATATCTGGATTAGGTAAGAAGAAGAAATACGCAAGCTAAATTAGTTCGAAATTCATAGAAATTACTTTAAGTAGCCATGTACTATTTCACATTTGCACATCAAACTAAGACAATTCTCACAAATTATAAAATCACAAAGGATAGACACAATCCATTTGTTGAATGGAAACACATAATGATGCTATCTTTGAATATCCCTATGTTCATACAATCCACAAAATTTGATGGTATCATTGATTCATAGATGATACTTGCCTATGCGGAGTATTTAACTACTTTGATTTACCTATCAAAGACTTTTCGTACTTTGCTTTACCTACTGCACCTTTCAAAACCTACTAAGGGAAGGTTGTAATAACCAAACTCAAGGCAACAATTGCATCAAGCTGAAATTTTGCAATTTTTATATATTAAATCCCTTCGGACCAACTGAAGTACAATCTTCTGTTCGGAGACAATCGATTAAGTACCTATGAGTGCAATCAGTTGTGCTCAAGTGTGGGTTTGCTTGTATCATGTTTTCCATTAAAGCCTAGTTTCTTTCGTTTCTTCATTCAAAATATTAGGTCCTGAAACTTTGTTGTTCAACATTAATCTCTTTGTAATTTATAGCCCTTCCCCCTTCCCCTGCTTGCATGCAGTACACTACCCCTCTTTCTAACAACATGCTGCATCACGTAGCCCCTCTCCCTACACAATGCACCACTACCCTCCCTTTCCCTAAATTTATTTCAGTTAATTTATTCTTCAATATGAGTTTAATAATAGTAGCAACAAATTCAGGAGTAAATTGTTTGAATAAGTTATATGATGTGATGACAATGCAAGAAAATCATTATATCATGAAGGCAGAATACCACAACATGTAGCCCACTAACTAATCCATCGCTTAAAACGCATTAACAAATAATCACTCAACTAAATTTATCTTTACAAAAAAATTGCTTTTTTTTTCTGGTAAAACTCCTAAAAACTCAATCAACCATAGAAACCTAGAAATTTATATCATATCAAAAATATAGAGAACCAAATATCAACTAATCAATTAATCAATTTTGGGGGAAATTCATCCATTTGACCAAAACTATAGACGCTGCTTATAGTTTCAACCTAAAAATTCATAAACCGATCAAAATCATTGGCGATTTCAGACTAGAAATCCAATTAAACATGTATAATGAAGATTATGAGTATCAATTAAATTAAACACCACAGTTTCACTAATTAAAAGCATGAATATCAAAATTCAACTTATGAGTGGAAAACAAACCTAAAATTGAAGATGAATGTGCAGTTTATTGTAGCCCGTAAATCTTGAATATCAGTTGAATTGTATTGAAATCGGGAAATCGAGTGTGGGAAAGCTCAATCGAATTTCATGCGAGGGTTTTGAGAATGAAGATGAGAGCAGAAATTTTTGGTAAGGGGACGAATTGAATAGTGGCGATTTAGCTTTTAAGTTTTTAATAACTCATGTTTTAACAGCGGTCTATATTAAAACGCTATAATAACAATACATATAATAAATAACCGCTATTATAAGGTGAGTATCATATCTTTTATAGCATAACCCCCCAAACCGCTTTAATAAAAATGCTATAAAAAGCTAATTCTGTACTAGTGCCCTCCCCCTGACCTCCCTATGGCCAACCTCTCCCGGCCCCCTTCCCCTCTTTTTCTGGGTGTCGCGTCATCTTTCTTCGTGAGCGCACTCCATAACCACACCTTCTGGGTCTTCAAATTGAAGATGCTCTTTACCAAATTGCTGCAATTAAAGGCCGGAATTGTTGCAATTAGTGGCGAATTGATTTTGTAGGTGGCGAATTGGTATACTTTATGGTGTTGTTGGTTGGCGAAGCTGGCGCTGCGGCTGCAGGCCTGCAGCTGGGGGTGCTGCGGTGTTAGGGTGTTGTTTGGAACTGTAGAAGATGCGGGTAGTAGGGTCTGTGGGTTTGTGATGATGTTGCGGGAGAAGTGGTGTGGCTGGTTGTTGTTGTTGCGGGAGGCTGGTTGTTGTTGTTGCGGGAGTTATTGTTGTTGTTGCAGGCTCGCGTTGCGGCAGGAAGAAAGTTACGTGAGATGGTGGTGTGGTGCGGCTCGGTGGTTATTGCGGTTGGTGGCTAGTAGGGTGGGGTTCCTTGCTGCCGAAGGTGGAGGTGTGGTGGGCAGAGCTCTGGCCGGAAATGGGAGCCATTAATGGAGGTGTGGAAGGGAGGAAGAAGATGAAGAGGAAAGGAAATTTTTTATTTTATTAATTTTTTTTTTTAAAATTTTAATTTTTTTTTTAAAAAATCAAATATATTTTTTGGACAAATGAAAATGCAACACATGACAGATGACTTATTATTGTAGATTAGAGACCTGCTTGGCCTAATAGAATAGAACACCCAAAACTTGGATTACTATGAAATAATCAAAAGGTCGGATTAATAAAGTAAGACTGCCTAAAGCTTGGATTATTAGAATCAAATTTTCCTTTTTTCTATTAGGAGATTAGCTTGTAAGAGGCGGGTGAGCATGCATTGATGCATATCTGATTATCTGTACAGAGCTTGTACATGATTCGTAATGGGATGATGTGGTGATGATTGTTTTCTTCGCATGTTTTATTTTGTTGTAATTTGTGTTTTTCTAATGAGTGCATTGGCCCATGCTCTGTAATTTAACTCATTTCTAATTGCGGTATTATGGATAATACAAGTAAGTCTCGTTTTTTGTTTTAACAACTCCAATATTTTCAAGTAGCAGATGTCAAGCAAGATTATGAAACCGGTGATACAACGATGGTGACTTTTAAGGTTGACTTTGATAAAGATGACAGTCAAGAATCTGCTATATTGATTGATATATGAGCATATATAATAAACATTACCAACTTCTTGATCTGGATTAACCGACCAAATTTATTAGGGTTTATAAGTTGTGGATTATGCATGATTTCACTCATTCAGAGCATTAATATGAATCAACCAACCAAATTAATCCCACGGGATCTTTCCTTTATTGGTTCGTAAACGTATTAGGGCTTAGTAGGTACTAGGTAGTATAGGGTTATTAGGAGTAGACACCCAAATGCCCTAATAAGGAGAGGTGAGAAGGTTCTATGGAAATATTGTAGTCCTCTATTTTAAACGAATTTGAGCTTCAATTTACATTATCTTGGGTTTTCATTTCATTTCTAGGGTTTATTTTATTGATCAATGGTCGGTATGAATTCTTATTTTACAATCCTAATATGAATCAATCCAATCAAGTGTATCTTAACCAAACTCAATTTTATCTACTCATTGCCTATAAACAGTATGATATGTTGTCTTTAAATCTTATACTACATACTTGTACATTCTACCACTCAAAAAGTTTATTGACTATTTCACCCTTTACTTAACTGCTGATTTACTTCTCCTTGCACGCGATCCAACCTTTTTGCCCCTTCTGACCTACTGATGTTGCTTATGCTTACACCTTAAACTCCTAAAGGGTGTTTGTTTAGGGGGATAAAAATGGTGGGATAAAGATAAAAGATGAGGACAAAAGAAAGTAGTATTTGTTTGGAGGGATGAGGATTACAGGAGTAGGAGATAGGGATAAAAGCACCCATTTATCCCTCTATTTTTATAACTAAGGGGTGGTATAAGGGGAAGGGAGAAGAGTACCAAATTACCCTTAATGAAATTAAAAGGGTAAAAAGAAAGAATAGAAATTTGTAAAGGTATTTTTTATAATTTTATTACTTATCCCTAATTTATTTCCCATATTTATCAAATATGGGATAAGAATTATTTACCTTCTCCCGCCTACAAATCCCTATCTTTATCCTCCCTCTTTATCCCTATCCCTCAAATTGCTCCACTTTCCCTTTCATTTTGTTCTCTCACTCTCTGCTGATGTCCTCCTATTTCATTTTCTCTCTCTTCAGATTCTCCTATTTTCCAACTTTATTTTGCTCAATTTCTATACATATCAATGCTTTTCTTATCAATTTTTTTTTTTGGTGTAGGAATTGAGCTTAAAGTTTGCATCTTGGATGGAGTGGTTGTGGTTATCTACTGGTGCTCTTTCTAAATTGTGCTCGATCTTCTCGATCATCTCTGGCAAGGTTTTTTTACGTTTTTGTAGTAGATCATTTCTAGGGTTCTTTGTTCAATTAGCTGAGTGAGGTGGATTTATATATATTTTTGGATTTATGATTTGGATTTATATCGAGTAGTTTAACTGGACATAATTGTGGATTGGGTAAATTTTGAGTTTCATCATTTGAAATTTGGATTTTGTAAATTGATTTCTGTAGTTAATTTAGATATTGAACAAGAGAGCGGTTGAGGCTTCAGATGAGCAGCGTCTAATGCCTGACATCAGGACTGGAGACATTGTGCAAATCAAATTGTTTGGTTTAGTAGTGGATGTGGTTCCTCTATTTTGTACGAATACTAAATTGTTCAATTATTTGAGCATAAGATTACTTTGTGTCAATGTGTCTCATCTTTTACATGCTCAATTGCAGGCTGATGTTGATGGTAATGGAACATCATCACAGCCGCAATGCATATGAATGGAATGGAGGAGGAGTGGAGGATCATCTGTACAAGGGCTTTGAATATTTTGACCAAGACAAGAGTGGGTAGCTTGCTCATGGCTTTTAAATATGTTGTCTGCTTTCGAAACATTTTCAACAGCTTTGTATCCTGACTCCTGATTAATGAACACTGCTTGCTTTGATTCTCACCATTGATTTCATGGAAGAACTAGAGCAAGCCTGGAACAAGTATAACATGGGTGATGAGAAAACAATGCAGGAGATAATTGCTCAAGTTGACGCATATAGTTCATCTTCTTGTCTCTGTCTCCTAATTTACCATTTAGTAGATGATCGTAAAGCATAATCCTGCTAGCTGCTGTCTCATTATTCTTCAGCATAGCTTTTGTCAATTTGATAGTTGTGTTCTCATTCATATCGAAGAGACTCGAAGCATATTACTGGCAGAATTATAACTGGACTAAATTACAATTCTTCTCTCCTGTGCAGGATGTTAGAATTAACTATGAGGAATTCGTAGCTATGATGAAGAAAGGCAACCCTGATTTGTCTTAAACAGACGGAGGAGATGATTCATAGGACAGTAACTTTATGAAGACTATCGTGTAAATCTTTTCTACACCAGCCTGGATCGATTGCAGGGATTTTGTCAATATCCGATGCCTTGAAATAGAGTGGATCAAAAAGAAAGACACGCTCAAAGAACGTGCTCAGTCTGTAAGGTTTTGTATCTATACCCTCTTTGTCATTTATATCATTGGAACATTTGGTAGTTTTTTTTTTTGTTTTTTTGGTTTTGCATCTATTTGTTCAAAGTAACATGTTCAGTTTGCAATAGCTTAACCTATGTTTTTCTTGCTTGTATATCAAAGTATGTTGTATGTTCTATCTACTTCCTTTGTTAAATGTTATTTGCAACAAAAGCGGAAGCTAAGCAGTGGCGGAGCCAGGATTTGTAATCCGGGGGGACAATTTTTAGATGTTTAATAATCGACAATAATTATAAGAAAAAAGAAATTGATCACATAAATTGTTTAATATATATATTTGAAATCGCTTATGAGATATGACAATTATTTTTATATGGTGAAAGAGGAGTTGTTAAAAAATTAATTGCATATTAAGAAATTTATTAACCAAATTTTTTTTTTTATGCTGGTAAACCCCAATTTTAAGGTATGTAATCCTTAATAATCGATAAATATGATTTATCAAATGATAAGCATTTACACAAATTGATAGTAGATGTAAAGGGATTTGGGTTACATTTTAAAAAAAAAAATAATAATAAATAAATAAACTTTCTTTGACTAAAAATAAAATTGGAAACTTAGTTCCAAACAAGCTATAAAAAAAATAGAATTTAGGCACACATAATTAGAGAGATAAAAAAATACGGAGACATGTGTTCATTACAAATAGTTTAATAACACATTAGTAATCACTATCAACAAGGCGATACTTGATTAAACAGTTAAATGAGAGTAATTAGAGGTTTGAAGACTTATAATACTTTGTATATATAAATTACATACTATATAATGAAATTTAAAAACCAGTAAAAAAAAAAATGGCAAAATCCAAAAACAAGAAAAAGAAGTTAAATAGGAGCACTTTGTCTAAACTATAAAATGAAATAAAAATAAAGTCCAAAAATAGCAAAAAGAAACAAAAAAAATGATCGGGTAAAGAATCGAACCTAGGATCAAAGAGAAATACAAGCTTTACTCAAGCCCATCAACCACCAGACCAAATGTTGTCTTTGTTATATAAGGTATACATGTAAGGTATTTATTCTTATTTACAGCATTTATTTAAGCTAACATAAATTAAATTTTTTTTTGGAAAAATGGGGGACAACCGTCCCCCCTTGTTCCTACATGGCTCCGCCCCTGAAGCTAAGCATTATTTGCAACATTTCTACATTTTTCCATTTTTAGTAAATTTCTTTTAATTAAAATTACAAAACACCTTTACATAAAACTTAACAAACTCAATTACATACTTAAAACATAATTAATTAAAACTAATCTAATCTAATTAACTCATCTTATCTTTATGAAATCATCATATTAATCCGCATTCTTTTCTTCATCTTCTCCATTATCTTTCTCTCTGTTTCTTCATTACCAAATTTCTTCATCTTCTTCCTCTTCTCCATTATCTTTTTCTGTCCTCCTTCAAACCCTATTCTCATAAATTGAAGAAGAAGAAGACCACCCTTTAGTTGCTTCAATTCCTTTCGTGGGGGTGGGTTTGATTCCAAATGTGATGGTTCGTGTTCTGGGTTGTGGGTTTTGGGTTCAAGTTCAAGTTCTTGGATTCGTGGGTTTGATTGTGGGTTCGTGGGTCCTTTAAGTGTGGGTTGTGGTCCGTGGGTTTGTGAGCTTAGTTGTGGGTTCATGGTTTCGTGGGTTCATGGGTTCATGGTTTCGTGGGTTCATGGGTTCTAGGTTTTGGGTTCGTGGGTTCAGGGAGGGTGGGTGGTCCTGGGTGGTGTGGTTGGTGCCATGGTGGTGCTGGGTGATTCAGTATAATTGTGGTTTAATTATTTTTTGGTTGGATTAATTTTCAAGGATATGCCCTAATTTTTCAATAATCATGCATAAGAACTTTTGTCTAGGAGTCCGCGGCTCCGCGCGGACCCATTTGTTGCAAATAACAAGCTATATGAATTCAAATCTGAGTCACCAAATTCATGTTTAAGCTATTTCATTAGATGTTCAAGAGTTCTAAAATGAAGTATGATGAAGAAATTAAGTATAATCATCTTGCCTGCATTGATTTCTTATGTATGCATGTGGAGGTTTTTTTTTTTTTTTTTTCCTGATTTTGAGTTCTCATATTATTATCATATACATTAAAGTATGTATTTTCTGATCTTTGATGCAAGCTATCTGATTATTTGTTGATGGGTATGGGTTTAGTGAAATTTTCGTTTTTTAAATGGGAATATGATGTTAGGTTTCATTTTTTGTTATTGAATTGATTGAAATAAATTATATTTGTTGATTAAATTTATTGTTGAAATGAACTGATTTATATTGATTTTAATGATAAAATTATTTTTATTGAATTTACAATAATTAAAATTGATAATGTCTGAATGATTTATTTCAGAATTGAAAAGAGGAAAGAGCCTTAGCCAAGTAGGGGAGAAGTTTTTTTTTTTTCCCTGCATTTTTAAATGTAGTCTGCTGGGCTAGCTTGACAAGCTAAAGTGGGAGAAAAACCATCTCTCGAAAGGGGAATCATCAGTAATTTCCAGCTTTTAATCAAGCAGACTCCTTGTTGCTTTATTCTTGCATTTCATCTCTAAAATCAGTCCAAAGCCATGTTAACTCATATCACATGCTTACATTATTATCGTCTGACACATTTCAGGCTAAGAGAATGGATATTGTGTGGGGAGAAACAGCTGGAGAGCATGGCTGGCTTTGGTTGCTTTGCTATATACTATTCAATTTGCAGGTAGTTGGGATTATATTTTCTGCTTTAGGAAGATCTTTTAAATTATAAATTGCTATAGGGCTATTGATTGCTGCATATTGTCTTTAGGTCCATTAGGATAAGGAATTAAAATTACATTAAAAAATAGAGAGTAAAAGCTTATTATCCCATTTGGAGTTACATTCTTAGAAATCTATACACGATTACATGCTTAGGCTTGCACTTCGCATAAATTAATGTGTGATCAGGTTTAGGAGGGTTTTTTCTTTTCTGGCCAGGGGTGATCTTGAAGAGGAGCTAGGGAGGGGAAGATAGTGGAACAATTAGTCAGTATCTAATAATGAATTTAAATTTCCTTAAAAAATAGAGAATAATCTATTTCCCATTTGGGGTTTACATTCTTACTCCCTCCGTCCCTTTAATAGATGTCTATTTCTAGCATTTATTACTCACATAATAAAGAGAAGTAGGCATCCAATTAAGGGACGGAGGGAGTAGTAATCTATACAGTAATACACGACTACATGTTTAATGTGTGATCAGGTTTTGGAGGTTATTTTCTTTTCTGGCTGAGGGGTGATCGTGAAGAGGAGCTAGGGATGGGAAGATAGCGGAACAATTAGTCAGTATCTAATAACTGTCACAAGTGTATGACATCAAGAATTCAAGCTTTACTTATTATTCTTGATTTAATGATTACCATACTGTTCTTTTCATTTTGTTGCTATAGATGCGTGTGTGGTTCTTATTTGCTGCAGAAGCTTGCAACAATATTTGTGTGATTTAACATGATTATAGCTTGGCTGATATCACATTATATTAAATTACTATACTTAGACTCTTGGTTCAGCTAGCTAGCTATGGTAGAATCAGTTGATCAGTTTACCTGTTACTGTTTCTTGTATCCTTCCATTAAACCTTTTATCTGGTTAAATTACGCTATCAAAAATAGTGCAATCTTCATTGTAATTTGACAATTCATCTTTTATCATTGATCACTTTGAAAGACCATGTTTATAACTAAGCAGTGCCAGCCTATGTTACATGGACTCGGGTACCCATGTCCAACACAGGTATGTATCCAAGCGTCCGAATCGGCTATTTTGTGAAAAAAAAAAAAATCCATGGTTTTGAACCAAAAGTAAAGTGTCCAAGTGTCATACCCATGTCCGAGTGTCGAGGGTCCGACATGGGTAGTTGAGGTGAAATGAAGAGTCCATGTAACATAGGTGCCAGCAGAACCTGGATTAAATTCAGTACTAATATATGTTGTTCATATGCTCTATTGATATGAAAATGAACCAAAGAATCCCTATTGTACTTTTGATTTAGCAACTTAGAGGTTTTTTCCCGCAACACCTGGATTAGATTTAGTACTAATATATGTTGTTCATATACTCTGTTGATATGAAAAGGAACCAAAGAATCGCTGTTGTACTATAAAGTTAGGCATATTACAACCTCTAAGATGTTTTCAAATGTAAAAGCAGGACTATTACAATGTTATGGCCGGAGAAGTGAAGTATGAAGGAATCTATGATAATGACCGCCCAACTCTCCGCCAGGTCGATCCAAGAGGTCCGTGGACAAGGATCAATTGCAATACACTGAGATCCTTAGGATGCGTGATCTTCCTTTCTCTGTAACCAGCGTAGACCTACTGAAATTCTTTGGGGATTTTAAGTTGGGCAGAGGATAAAATCCACGTAGAAAGCCAAACAAATGGGAAGGCTATTGTAGAGGCATATGTTAAATGTTTTTCAGGAATATAGGTATCGAAAAGCTCAAACTCCTCCCTCATTTCGATCACAAGATCGAAGATGGGCTTCCATGGCAGAAGCTCATGGGTCTTCTCTCAGTCTCTCTCCTCTACGTTCTTCTCCTCTTCTCTCAATTTCATACCTTTTACCCTCATGGTGTTGCTCCTCGAGATTTCCAACTGGTAATTTTTTTCTAAACTATATTTGGTTCTTCGTTTCATCTTCCTATATTTGATTCTTGTTTATTGGATGTAATTTTTGTGGGTTTGCTAATTTGATCGGTTTGATTTGGGGATTTAGGGTTATCATTGAAAAAAAAAAAAAAAAAAAAAAAAAAAAAAAAAAAAAAAAACTGATATTGAATTCTTATATTTTTTTTTTTACATGAAACCACTAAATCTTGTGGTATCTCAACTCTCACTATTCCCCTTCCAGCCACCCTGTGCGGCAACTAATAGAAACTATGAGCCATCCATCGATGACGACCAATGCCTGATGGAAAAATCCACCACTCATCTTTCTAAACTAAATTATTTTATGTTGGATTTTATTCTTTTAGTCTTGACAATAATGTCTCATATTACTCGATTCTTTTGCATTCTCAATTTTGTGATGCAATTCAATAATTTTTTTTTTATTGATTCTTTTACTCAAATTTATGAATTAAGGGAAAATGGAGTAACTCACTTGCTGGGAAATGGAAATTTGAGTAAAAAGTCACACTTTGTTTCTATTTCTTTCTATAATTAAAAAATCAAGAGAAATAATTGATGAATAAGAATGAAGTTAGGAGTCATGGGATAGCACTAAAGATAATTAATGTGCTCATTCTAAAGAAAACCGCCATTAAGAATCCGCCTGTAAAAGACAAGGCGATAATCTTGAAAAGTATTTTTTGCCAAATTTACACTATATGATTTGGTCTATCTCAATGTGTATGGATTATGTTGTAATTATTGAGGCAATCAAATATTTGACAATATCTGGAGATTTTAATGTTAGTGGATGGGAGCTTGTTAATTGTATCAGAAGAGAGGAAAAATATCTAGAGAGAGAAAATGAAGGAAGGAAATTGTGTTTGTTATTTCTGAATAAATGATATTATTACAGGAGGAAGCTATTTATAACTCAACTACCAACTTACTGCTAGCTTACAAAATGGATGCTGACTCAGCAATCCTGATAACTAATTCTGTTACAAGAGATTCTTTAGTGCTAGCTGGTGTAGTATAACTATCCTGCACCGCACCTATGCTGCTATAATCAACAGAGCTTGATCTCGAGCTCGGTCACACTCCTAATGTCAATGATAGTAGATAATTGGGAGGGGGAGATTATGAAAGAAATTTTGCGATTGTTGCACTTTGTTTTTTAAATGTCAGTCAGTTATCTAGAAAATTTGATTTGTTGCTAACCTTAATTGGTATAGATAGAAGAATCTATTTTTAATGTATTTGAGCACTTTTCTTATCCTCTCCTTTTCCATTTGGATGATTTTGGATTATATTTCAGGGGTTCACAAATGGCTACTAAGCTAGAAAACAATGCTATTCCAAACTCTACATTTTCCTCTCGATCTCCCTTTTGGTCAAGTTCATGCATCTGTTGATTCTGAAATTGATCCAAACTCTTACTTGCTTGAGAAGTTCAAGCTTTATGAAACTCAAGCGGTACTAAATTTATCACTTTTGATTATTTCAATTCACTTAAGCCCTGATATTTAATTGATGAATGTTTTTCAATTTAATTTGTGCAGAGGTTTTATCTTATCGGAATACGGAAGTGCTCCAAATATTGAAAATTGACCGATGCGAGCCATCAGAATTGAACATCAGTGAAGATCTAGTGGTAATATTCACCACAGGAGGTGAAGAACCTGTTGCAGCAAATTGCAGAGGGGCATCAGGCTTCTGAAGGGTTGAATTTTGTTGCTTATTCCAAGACAGTTTGAGGTAAATTTAATGCCTTGGTGTGTTTAAATTCTCATGCTACATCTTTGGAACTTTGTTACTTTTGAGACTTGGTTAAGATATTGGTTCGATGTTCTGAAAAATTAGTCCCATATTGGTTTCCCCGCCTGATTTGTGATGATAATATAGTAGTTTTACAGTTTCTTTTGCTTTCCTGATTGAGGTATGTGGTGATTTATTAAGGAAGAATTTGAGTGTAAGATTTATTTAGATTTAAAAGGTGTAAGATCAATTGGTTTCTCCGCGTGATTTGTGACGAGTGTTTTGCAATGTGATTTTTGTTTCTGTCCATTACTTTGATTTATTAATTGTTTATTTTTTGTCCTATTAGCTCCAATCTTTTTTAGTTACTCTTATTATCTTAACCTTTTTTTTTTTTGTTTATGTTAAAACCTTTCTTTATATGATAGTTTAAATATATTGTGAGGGCCGTTAATTCTCACATTAATGTATCATTATGTGTTTTTGTTGATTTGATGAGGATTTATATGAAAAGATTAGGTGTTGTGTTGGAATTTAAATAGGACCTCCCTACATACATGCACCCTGACAAATACTACGTATCTTGGAGGGATGAGTGGTTTATGGTTTAACCAGAGAAAGGGTTTGTGACCAGTACACTCACTGCATTAATCTTTGCTGGATCACATGCTGATTTTAATAATGTTCTATCGCAGAAACTATGTTGTCCAGTACAGTTTGTCTCTCAGTCTAAAGGGAACTATGTGCATCTCTGCATGCAGAAATTCAGCAGCCATGTGGTTGAAACTTCGAGCATTTTTCAACCAGTGTACGAGGATAGTCACCAATTCAAGGTCTGCTTCTAATAACATCCAAGAGTTTACAGGGTTAGTCACCAAGGTCTGCTTCTTGTAAACGCTTCTTAACTAGTTGTTTTCATGTCCTGTTATGCTCATCTATGAAGTAGAATAATTATCATGCTTGATTGGTGAATGGAAATTTCAGGATTTTGGAACCCAAATAGTAATATGTGATTATACGTTGATAAGAATATCAATGAATTTAAAGATGGTGAACTGTTATATTTAACTGAGGATTGCAATAGAAAAACTATGAAATGGAGATGAGTAGGGGTGATAGTTATTATTTGTTTTAGTGTGCTGGCTAACTTTTTTGCCTATGAAAGTATTCATTTACAATTCTTTGTTGTCCTTCTCTGAAATGATGAAATTGCAGTATTCTCATCCTCTTAAGTGTGGGTGTGCAGCGCACTGGGCTAGGGATTGCCCGTCGAGTGGTGGTGGAAGGTATCCTTCACAATCTGAATTTGGTAGATTTGGTCTGCAGGGAGATCGTGATTATGACTGCTGGGGGGTGCTATGGCAGTAGAGATTGTTTGGAGAACAGAAATGGGTATCCGCCTGCTAGTGATCATTCTGGAAGCGATAGATATATGGATCGATGCCCCTTAAATATGGCCGGGATAGAGATATGGAGGCGTTAAGAGGTGGTGATAAGTATGCTGCTAGTGGACGAACTCCCTATGACAGAGAAAGCTTTAGATACCAGGCTCACCCTTATGATGCTCTGGGAGAAGCAAACAGAGTTGATATCGCTGTTGGTTTTGCTCCTCTAATGTTGTGCAAACTGTTGTTTTCTAAGTAGATGCAGAAATGTTGGATATCGTCTCCTTTGCGTGTTCGTATTCTGTCCAGACAAGTAGTGTGCCCAGAAAAAATTTAAGAGTATGGATAACTGTGGTGACCTTATTAGTTGACCTGTAGGAGTATTTATTGGGAGGAAATTATTTGAATATATGGACTATTATACTCCGTATGTATGTTTTAGTTGAATGTAAGGATGGACAAGATGCACATAGATCAATTTGATTTCTTTTGACGGGCATTGATTATTAGAGCTTATTGAGGAAGCACTTAGGATTATCTTATTAATTTATTTATTTATAATTATTTATTTTTTTATTTTTTATCTTTTCGGTGTAAGCAATTAATTACTACTTGCAAGGATCTTCACATTGTAATGAAAAAAAAAAAAATGCTTAAACAATTTACTCCCATGGATTGGTACTATTTTTCTCTTAGATTCAACACATAATAATCAGTCGTTCATTCTTTGTTACCCCGTACATAACAGCCCCAAATGTTTCCAGAACATCATCGTTATCTCTGTATTAGTATTGCCCTACCTTTTTTTTTTTTTTTTTTTTGACGGGAAATGGTACCAGAAATTATTAAGCAGCAGGAGGGCTAAAGTCAGCCATTACAAGCTCCATAAGAGCACTTGGAATGTCTTCCATCCAAACCATAAGCTCCTCATAGTTACAACTTAAAGAGGCTAAACTATGAGCAACCCGATTCCCCTCCCTCTTGACAAAAGAAAAAGAAACAGAAACACATGAAAAGGAAAGTTGTAAAATGTCTAAAACAATCGAACCAAACTCCAAGGGACTAGCATCAGACTTGACCAAGAAGTGGTAAAGTTTTAAGGCATAGCTTGTTTAAGCACATTTCTACGCAGCCACAAGCCCCATATAATGCTCCAAAAAATACTCCACCATTGAGTATCTTTATGCCTATACCTCACCGCAGCACACCACCTTCTAAATTTGGGAATGAGAGGGGGGTTGTCTTCCGGGGTGGGGGAAGGGAAGGGGAGCAGTCTCGGGGTTAGCTTGTTTACCGGTGGGGGAAGGCAGGGGGTGGGGCGTGGTTTATTTTTATTTTTTTATTTTGGACCAATCACGTGTTGACACGTGTTTATTCAGGGTATAAATCGATAAATGTAGGATTATTAAAATGAAATTTTCCATATTTTGTGCTTTTTTTTAAAAAAAAATAATCTATCCCCGGGCTTCAAATCAAGCAATCAATTGTGAGTCTATGCGTTCCTAGCCATAATTTGTAACACCCTGTTTTTAAGAATCACTATTTCATGTGCATTTCAACCTATTAAACCTAATTTCTAATTTAAATTTCAATTTCTAAATTGAAATTTTAGATAATTAATATAATCATTATTTTGACTAATGGGTCATCCCAAGCTTTTGAAACCCTAATTATAATGCTTTGACAAAACAATTGAAAGTTATTATTTAAAAGGTTTTATATTTGAGTTTCAATCATTTCAATTATATTTGACTTGTTTGTGTTGATTTTAGGCTTAATGGGTGATTCCTTGAGCAACTTAAGCGTCAATTCGGTAAGTGTTACACTTAAATTATGGGCGTGTTCGGCAAAATGTAGCTGTAGAGGTAGCTGTTAGCTGTCAATTCAACTAGCTGTTAGCTGTGAAAAATAAATAATTAAGTATGAGTGTTTGGTAAACTAGCTGTTGATTAGCTATTAGCTGCAAAATTATAAAAATATAGAAGAAAATTTATAATTCGTACCTAGTGTTTCTCAAAAGCTAATAATATTAACTTTTCACAAAAGCTACTCCAATTACTAAATTCTACTTCCACCACTACATTGCCAAACACTAATATTTTTTTTACTTAGTAATGGTTTAAATAAGTCAAACCACTAAAAGATACCTAAAAGCTACTCAAAAGCAAGTGCCGAACACGCCCTATATGTAATTTTGATATTATTTAATTTATTAAAATTGATATGGGTCATCATATCATGGGTGATTCCTTGACTAAAGTGCCATTTTGATAGGTATGAAATGATTTTAAGGTTTATTTTAAGACGTTTTACGTTCAACCGTATCAATATCGATAAATAAAGTTGTATTGGGTGATTTCGTTAACTCGTTTAACAAATTGGTATTGTTTATAAGCCATTCTTTAATTCTTATATTTATAAAAACTCATTATAATGTCCTTTTATTAATTAGGTCATTATAAATGAATAAAATTATTAGTTTCACATTTCGCTTTTATGTAGCTTTTCTGTAAATATGAACTTTAAATATATTTTTGTATCGTGATTTAATTCATTTAAATTATTAGGTTAATTTGTAAATTACCACCTAAAAATGTACCTGTTTTTTAAATAACCACCCGTTTAATTTTTTATTTTAAATTACCACCCCTTAAATTAAATAATCACTCAGATTACCACCCATTTCAAAATTCCGGTTGATTTTCCGTCTGTGGGCCCCACCTAACGGCTATTTTGACCATTTTGACTGATTTCGCCCCCCGACTTTTTCTCTCTCCATCTTTTCTCTCTTCTTCCTACCTTCTTTAACCTTCAATCCTTCTGTTTCAAGTTCACTTCCAAATCTACCTTCTTCAACCTTCTTAATTTTTTCGAAATTGAAGTAGGAACCCTAATTTCATAAAACCCCCAATTCAATTAAAATAGGAACCCTAATTTAAGAAAACCCTCAATTCAATTGAAGCATGAACCCTTATTCGAAACATTGAAATTTCCAAATCAACCAAATTATTATTTGCATTATTATTGATATGATTATTTAGATATCAATAATATAATTTATAATATCGTTTTAAAACGCATTTTAAATCGCCTTATGACACTTCTCCTCCCTAGTCTAGTTTCGGGCCTATTAGTTGATTAGACCTTCTAAGAGGTGTTACGGGCCTATCTTAGGCGTGTAGTTAAGTTGTACATTAAGGCCTAATAAGGTAAGCTTAACAATCCATCGCATCCAATTGAAGCCCAAAAGGAAAGCCTTGAACCTATGTATTATGAGGCTTGTTCGTGAGCTTCATTTGAGCCCATTTTAGGCTGATTTACACAGCAGCTTTAAGGGATTAGTGGCTGATCAATTTGCCCTAAGTAACCTCCTCTAATCAATGGTAATAACACCTAGTTATGGCTGCCCAACTCCTCCTCTTCCCCTTCCCTTTTTACGTACAAAACAAGGCTAGCTTTCATCAGTTTTCTTCACCAAAAAAACGCTGCACTACTCTCTTCATCTTTTTCGTGGGTTTCAAAGGCAAATCAAGGGGGAAATTAAAGCCTAATTTGCTGCTTAAATCTACTCCAATTCGTGCCCAAATTCCTCCTCTTCGAAGTGTCAAAACCGAAGAACTTTGAGGGCTTTTAAGGGGCTGCTTGGACGTGCCATGAGCATGGGTTTGGGGGCTGATTTCATAAATTTTCTCTCCTCTTTCTAGTCTATATTTTGGTCACGCTTCAAGAGGTAATTAGCTTGGGTTGGAACTAGAGGGTTTTGGGGTTGGATTGATGGGTAGAAGCATGATTAGGGTAGGTTATATTTGTGATTTTCGTTGCCCTTCTTGCTGCAGAATTTTGCATGGTTTAATGCCCAATTTGATGAGTTTTATTCATGTTTTCATGCTCATATGTAATGAATATCACAACCTAGTTGTTGTGTGGTGTTCTTGTGATGATTTCATTAGATTTAAACATGGTTGTAGGGGTTTAATGGACTGGTTATATTTGCTGAACGTTTTGCATGTTTTAAAGGAAATTTCTTGTTATTTAATCATTATTATGCCTTACTTGACTTAGTATGGGTTAATTAGGTATAAGTTCTATGTGTTAAACTTTGATTTTGGGCATGTTTCGGACTTGTTTTGGGCGGGGGAAAGTGAAATCCACGAATGGAATTACAGCATGTTAAGCATGAGTTTAAGGTCTTAGATCTGATTATTTTGATTGATTTGCTTGCCCAAAATAAATTATTATCATGTTAGGCTATCACCAAATTAATTTGGCATGAATCCAACCAAGTTGCTGCCTTCCATTGTGAAATGTGTGTGATTAGAGAGTTTTTAAGATGTGTTTTGCCTAATTTCTAAGCTCAAATGCATGATTAACATGACCTATTGTGGTTTTAGAGTGTGTACAATAATGAGCTAAGCTTACTTTCATGTTTAAGGTGGGTTTTGGGTGATTTGGTGTGATTGGTGCAAACCAAACAGCCGCTAAGTGTTTTAATATTGATTTTCAGTTTTAAGTTGATTATAAATTATTTCACAGTTTGTATCGTTAGATGGTTTTAAGTAATATCATTTGAGTTTTCAAGTTGTTTGTGTTGTGGTTTCTTTTTATTAATTTAAGTCTGAAAGCTTCTATTTCTAATTTGAGGAGGAACTGCTAGTTGCTCTCCACTGATTGTGGAACGTCGTTGTAATTTGCAGGTTTTATTTATTTATTTGAACATTGTGACGATGGGTTGGGAATTGAGAGTTTAAGACCCAACTTTTTGGGCTTGCATGCTTTTGTTGTTAGTTGATTGTTAAGTGCTTTGAATTTGGTTTTAGTTTGATTTCAGTTTGGCCGATAAGGGTTGTTCTGCCCTTGGTTTTTGAATGTAATTGATTTGCCTAAGTTTATGTTCATTTGTTATTTTCCTTTTCACCGTATAGTTTGCTCTTTAGGTTAAACAACTTATTAATTTAGATGTTTGAATGACTTAAACTTAACCTTTAGACCTAGGTTAAGCTTGACTTTGTCAATCGAAGTTAAGTAGCCTCTCTCGTTCAGGTGTGATTCCACTAACGCTTTCAGTTCTAAAAGAACGGGGTGTTACATTATTAGTTTGCCAATTAAATTGGTCAATTAATTTAATAAATAAATTTATTTAAATTTAATCATCCAGCAAAAAACCGGGTAGTAAAATTTTTTGGCTCGAGACAAGGTCTGATACTCATCTAGAAATCTAATACTAATTTCGAAAGCATAAAACGAATTACTCCATAATAATAATAATGATAATAATAAATAAATAAAAAAACTCAATATATAATTTTGTTCTTCGTGGCATAAAGTTCATTTTATTCTATAATAATCCAAATAATTTGTTTCCTCAAAAATAAAAATCCAAATAATCTAAAGTTAGAATTATAAATTTAAAACCAATTTTTGTCTCTCATTAATTTTATGAATGTCATACAATTGGAGCTGAGATATAAATATAAGAAGTAAAGCAAACTGTAGTAATGCAATGAGATGGAAGCCGTGATGCAACAACATAGGCCAACAGCAGCTGCTGGGACTATCAGACCCTGAACAATGCCAAATCATGAAATCCAGTGCTTGTTCCAAATGCAAACAAATGGTAAGGGCAAAAGATCATAGAGAATTTAACAGCATATATAGATAAGCTACCTATTGAGCTTATACACCAGGAAGGACTAATGGTTAACTTCAAAGTTTAAGACACAAAAAGATAATCCTTGATTCTCTTCACATTCTCATTTAGTAATCCCTAGTTTCATTCTCTTCACATTCTCATTTAGTAATCCCTAGTTTCAAGGTCATGCATAAAATGTAGCCGACTCCTCTTCTTCAGCATAGACTGGAGACCTGAGTTCAACAAAATTAACATTTTTCAAAAGTACACTTCTTCAAATCTTCAATTAAATATGTCTAGCAAAAATAAAAATAAAAATACCGTCAGTCAAACGATCTCAAAACCCTCATTTCATCCTCCTTCACTTCATATCTCTCACCTACAAAAAACCAAGATACCATATTATATTACCAAAATACTGTATTATATACTAACATTAATTACAGCAAGATTATATATAGATTTTTACCTGTATATGAATAAATAACAGAACAATCCTGCTTCTCGAGTATGATATTGCTGTTGCTGGCAATGTACTGAGCTAATCTATCATCGGGCTCTACCAAAATACGGTAGAGACACCTCCAGACATCCGGAGAACCCCTCTCGTTTTCCAACCACCTATCTAATATCTTTTCACGCTCAAGAGTTGATCTGTGCCCGCTGCGTTTCTTCAATCGTATATTTCCTTTGTATTCCTCTGGAAAAAATAAATAATAGTTCTTAATAAAAAAATAACAATAAATAAAAACAAAAATAATTGCTTATAATTCATCAGGACATAACAAAAGATTCATTCAAACCAATTTTTACGCACAAAAGAAGAGCAGCATATATTACATTAGGAGGTTTAAAACCTCAAAATAGACATAGTAGTTCTTAGACAAGAACTAAGAGGATAAAGCAAACACATTACAGCACCAAGTTAAAACCAAAAGCAGAATATGTAGTGGATACATAATGTTTTCTGAACATGAGGAGCAGGAATCAAGCATTATGAGACCTTGTGATTATGGATGCATACTTCCAATCTGAGCTAACCCAAGGCAGAGCATTTCCCTTTGTTTTAAGATGAAGGGGAGTAACCTTCCGATTTCTTTTGAGAAGAGAAGCAAGAAACACAATAACCAATAGCTAGAAAGTGAATTCTACTGTGCCAAGCAGTAACCAATAGCTAGAAGCTAAGCTAATGCAGCCCCTACTGCCTTGAAATTAATAGCCAGTTTACCACCTCCTTTAACTAACCTCTTTGGGGAGGAGCCCAGGCCCATGATTGAAGATCAGAATCAGAGGTTATATGAGAAAGCATCAGACGCAGATTTCCATCTAAGAGAACCAGTGTGAATGTGGACATACAGAACAAATGCAAATTATCAAGATAACCTCTTTCTCAAGATAACGTCCGATAATTGTAATTACAGCACAGGGGAATTCAAAATCTTCATAGTTTAACAACAATGTACCTCCCGCGCTGCAAACACGAACTAAATGATTAATGGAATCCCGGTAACGACCCCGATATGGACCAAATCCATAATTACATGATCCTCATTCCTAATCTGAGAAAAGCTTAAATTGATTGTTTTTTTCATTTTACCGAACAACAGTCGAGAGTAGAGGAGTAGAAGAATGCAAAAATCAAAACTTTAGCAAATGCGAGGACAAACCTGAAATTTCTGAAGCAAAAACAAACCTACCTTCAAACGACCAGTTGAAACTGAGCTTGTTAATGGAAAATGAATTTCACTCTTACAGTAATTTTCCAAAATTCTTACAGTGATCTTCCAATTTGATTGGGCAGGAGAGATCTATTAACCCTATTAGGAGCATCTCATCCCAAATTAAGTTTAAGCCCAAGTTAAAAGCCCAAAAATTTGGACCCATTCCAAATATCAATATTTCATGCTCTTATACTCCTACTTCAAGGATTTTACTAAATTATATAGTGAACTACAACATTAATTTAACAATTATATATGAAGTATACTAAAAATATATAGTATATAGTATCCTAATATAGTGCTTATTTATGCTCATTTTTATAACAAAATTACTTAATGTAAAATACATACATTAAAATTGCAAATAATAATACAACCTTTAGCTCGTTCTTTTTTAATAACTAGGGAGGCTCTGCGCGCGCGTGCTAATTAGTGTCTTAGCTTAGTTGTTATCACTCAATTATCAATTATATAGGGACTATGTAGTTAGGCTATAACACTTTTAGTCATTACAAATATGTAACTATGGAAAAGGAGTGATGGAAAATAAAAAATGATTGCAGGTTTAATACATTGTGCCAAGATACAGATTTTGTATAATGAAGGACATTTATAATGTGGTTTATGTAAATAATTATGATGGACTATGTATTTTGGTATATTAACTTTAAGTTCTTGTAAATATGAACATATGAATGAGAAGTTATAATTAATTTTTAATGATTGAAGGTCTAAGAAGTCACTTCTAAAAAAAGCTTATTTTAAATCCGAAAATGCCCATAGAAGATTTTGATTTTATAGCTTGAAAATGTAATGGGAATACTATATTAGTAAGGGCCTGTTCTGTTCAGCTTAATTTCAATTCAGCCCCAATCAGTTCATTTCAGTTTATACAATTCATTTCAGCTCTATTCGGTTCATTTCAGTTCAGTCTCAATCAATTCAGTTGTTTTCAGTAAATCGAAACAAGCCCTAAGTCATCTTGAATGGTTGCATCTCTCACGCCTAATGTGTTATAGTGTTTGGTATTTTATTTTGGCGGTCCATATAAATAAGAAAGTATGTGTAATAGTGTGTACTTTTTTTTAAACTATATTTTTGGCCCTTTTGTTGATTCAAGTAATTTAATAATGAACTTAGAAAACTTATAATACAGTACAATGGACATTTAAAAATAATAAGGAATTAAATTGTGCAAAAATAAGTTTAATTAATCAAGGAAACCTATAATGAGCTTGAGGAACTCAAGTCTTTATAGGTTTCCTCAAGCTCATTATAGGTTTCCTTGATTAATCCTAAACTACTGCATTATAAACCCAAAATTGTTTTTGTAATATACCAAAATATACCAAAAAAAATGAATCAAGATAACATAGGACTGTAACGAAATGGAACATATTCTGACATTTTAAAATAGATCTTCTTTGATAGCAGATAAGGAAAGTGTCAAACAGATCTTTCCTCATGCACTACATTAGCTACAATTACAATTTCGTCATCGCCAGATTGGAATTTCGTCATCAAATGAAGTAAGTTCTTAATCTCTTTCTCTTTCCTTAAGCTCCTTGACCACCAAAGTCTTTATCCTGTTATAACTGATATCATGATCGTCGTAACTCAGATCAAATCCCATACTGCAGCCACCTTTCTCAATTACACTGCTTCCAACATTTGAGGTCATAATCATAAGAGTATTTTTAAAACTCACAGTTTTTCCCATGCTGTCGGTTAATGTTCCGTCTTCTAAAATTTGCAGCATCATGTTGAACTCATCGCCTCACAGCCTTAGTAAGCTGCCCAACCTCAGAATAACCAACATAACCTGCGGGTAAACCGATCAACTTAAAAACCGTGTCGTTCCATGAACTCACTCATATGAAGGCAGACCATGGCTTCTTCAGAACCAAAGTAGTAAGCAGCTAAAGCTTTTGCAAGTTCTGACTTTCCTACACAGTTGGAACGGAAAAGATGAAGCTGGCAATTGACAGTCAAGATCCTTTAGACCAACGCGAGAATGCTGAATTGCACGGCTGATAGCTTTGACAGCTTCGTCTTGACCTATTACACGACCATGGAGATTGATTCGTCAGATGAAACTTTCTGAACTTGTATATCTGTCCAAGAGAAAACTATTACCCTAATCTCTGCATCTGTCACAACTGCTCCAGCGTAGTCCATATTAGCCTCTTTCTGTTCCTTGTCTTGGCTTAAGAGTGCAGATATTTGTACCTTCAGCTCTAGTTCTTGGTCACGTAGCTCAGCAGCCTGCATATGGGTGTTTAGCTAGAACACCGCATATCACTGGCAAAGCATGAAAAGTCAAGCATTTCGCTGCACTATGAACTGAGAGAGTGGAAGTATCTACAAGTCTGCACCTCAAAGCCTCAAAGAAATAGACCTGCCCACAGAAGAAGGAAGCTTCATACAGTTCACAGTCAACCATAGCAGACAGACAAATAAACCTGACAATAACTCACCTGACCCGAACCAAACCCAACATAAACTGATTTGAATTTAAACGGACACTAAATGTCAGATCGAGAATGAAATTCATCTAAAAAATAAGATCGACCAACCCAACCTATATATAGCAGAATTTTTTTCTTAACCAAATAACCAGAACGCTACCTTCCAGTGAAGTGACTATGTTTAGAATAAAAGGATTAGTTAGTAATTAGGAGAGTAAATCAGATAGTAGATGCATTTATAAGCCTCCTGGGTCATTCCTAAATTCCAAGCAATATTATACTGAGGTTTATGTATCGACAACAAGAATTACAACAACAATTCAAGGTGTTTATATTCCAGCCAAATATGAGAAGTTCAATAGATCCTAGTATTTAGTAGTGTGCTGTGAAAAAATTTCCAAGGCAACATATCACATACTTCTTCCCGTCGACGAGCTACTATCTGTTGTGTGAAGCAGGTCAATAATAGTCTTCGAACACGGTTTATCCTTGTAAGCAACTAAGAAGAGTACTTTGCACATGGGTGCCAATAGAACAACGCCATTTCAAGCATTAGGTTGCTTAAGGTGCACCTTTAGAGCCACAGCCCTACCCATTGACTGTCCAAATAAAAAGCTTGGATGGCCATGAAACTCTGGTTTTCCTGATACAGAAAAGTATACGTTTAGCAACTAAAGCTACAGAAGAGAGAGCGCCTCAAGGACTGTCTTTTATTTGTTCTGGTTCCATTTTTCAATAAAATCACATCAACAAACACAAAACCCAGAAATTATTATTTAATTTTTTCAGATATACATAGAAAGAGTCCATGTGAAAATAATAATAAATAACAAATGCTCAAAAGTAGAAATAACACAATTATATCAGTACTTTGACTTATTACCCATAGAGGCATAGAATAAGGCACAGATTTATAATACAAGGTCACCAATTTTCACTGGCCCAAAAATAAAAATAGACAAAACAGAAATAAAAATAAAATGATATTATTATGGTGAATCCAATCAGTCTCTATTCACAGATCTTTCTTTCTTTCCTTCTTAGCTCACTCAAAGCTCAAAGCATGAAAAAAATAAAATTAAAATGCCTTTTGCAGTATTTGTTTATGCAATTACCGCATGTTCTCTAACACGGGTGTTACTTGGATTATCATTTTAATAGAAATTCTCTAAAGGGGGAAAAAAAATATCAAAGTAATTAAGAGTGGAATTTGGGGAATTAAAGTGAAAAGTAGCTAAAAATTGACGTCGATGAGCAAAGAAGAGGTAAAGGGATCGCAAGAGTAATGGTCATCTACCCAATCAATCTTGTTGCTTGTGATCAAACCGAATGCAAACTTGCGATTTCACCACCACAAAGCACCCCCTCCAGCACAATACATACTACAAAGCACACTTACTGTTATTTCTGAAGAATGAAGGAGAGAAGGAAGAAGATGTAGCTATGGGAGAGCATGAAAATCTGAAAAGCAAAGTGAAAGGATGGGAGGAGAAGGCAAAAAGGCTAATCATGTGGCAAACAATGGAGGGAGAATCATCCACTTGCTTAAGTGTTGAGGTGGACCAGAAGACCAATTAGATTATTTTGACCCCATCCCTCGAGCACCATATGTCCAATTTCCCCTGATAAGCATAAGATCAAATCTATGACAAAAGGTACTAAGAGTAAGATTTGTTCCTCTAAACAGCCAAGGAAAGAAACACCAATTTTACTATTCATACTAACCCTTTCACTCTCCAATTATGGTCTTGAAATTTAGCTTATCCTACTGCTCTCTCCCTCCAAGTTTTTTTTTTCCTCCTCTCATTTATCTTACAGTCATGTGTAGTAGAGAATTTCTCTTTTTAATAGTTAATTCTATAATGGTCTCCTCAAAGAGCTTCAATCTTCATGTCTCTCTATCCTTGGTCTTTTTTTATCATCTTTACATTCACCTAGTCACCATTTTAAATCCCTCTTCCTCATCTCCTTTTCATTCCCCCGTTCTCTTCCTTTCCCCACTCCCTTACTCCCTATTCTTCTCTCCATATCTCTTTTCTGTTATGATTTAATATTTTTAGTCAGCTTAGTCCTACATACCCCCATCTCTCTCTCTCTCTCTCTCTCTCTCTCTCTCTCTCTCTCTCTCTCTCTCTCTCTCTCTCTCTCTCTCTCTCTCTCTCTCTCTCTCTCTCTCTCTCTCTTATCTTCACTTTCAAATTCCCTCTCCCTCTCCCCCTTCCATTGCATTTCCTTATTCCCTTCTTATTACTTTAGTCTTACTTGCTTCACCCTCTCTATCCTTTTCATCTTTACTTTCATATTTTTTCCCTCTCCCACCACATTTCCATTTCCTTAATTAGATAATTGGAGAATCCACTCAAGTAAATTCGCTACAACTCAACAAAAAAATTAAATAAATAAATATAAAAATACACAAATAAATGAATGCTTTTAACAACAGCAATGATTTTAATCAGAAATAACAACATTATATTTTCAGAATGATTTTAAAAACTCTAATATATTCACTTCTTTTTTAACATGCTTAAATTGAGAAAGACAAGGCAAAAAACCATTCTTTTAAATAAAATAAAAAAAATCGTTTGTGTACTTTCTTTGACTTGTAGTCTAGGTGTGATTGTATTAATGTATGTGTGTGATTTTGTATCTGTCTCTGTAGCTAGAGGGATGTCACATGTAGTTCAAATAGTCTCTTGCATAGTTGCATTCTTTTGGCCAGCTAATCTAATGCGAAGTAATCAATATATTACTGCTGGTTTGTTGTGCAATTGCTGATTGTTGTTTAATGATGTTTTTTTAAAAAAAAATATTCGCTTCAATTGCTTGAGTATATTAGCAACAGCAATGATTTAAATCAGAAATAACAACATTATATTTTAAGAATTTCATCCTCAAAGCTATCATGTCCTACAGCCACTAATAATAGACATATGGTTGACAAGAATAGTGAAATCTATTCTACAAATATTTTCATGCACAGTATTTATTAATACAAAGATAATATAATAGATATGAAGCAGTTCACTATGATGATTCCCCACCCCCCCCCTCTGACAATCGATGCATTATAGCATAAAAAACTTGAGGATCAGAATACAAACTAACAATTCAAACAAAAAATGCCGTACAAAAACATACCAGGGTGCAAAGAACTCTACAGCCCAAACATCTTTGCTTTTCAGGCATTTCAGCACTAAATCATCAAGGTTACGTGAGTTCAGTTCAACTGATGCACTGGGCTCAGACGACTTTTCGCTTGATCCTCCTGCTTTTCCATTTAAATGATCCTTCATAAGTGCCTTGACCTGCACACAACTCACACATCTCAACATTTGTGTGTTCTCATTCCAAAAATAATTCAGACTATGCTGGCCAAATTGCCAAAGACAATCAAATAAAAAAGAAACATCAAAGCACACACTTTGCTAATAGTTTCAGACTGCTTCATGAGAACAGCTTGCTAAGCAAGACACTAAGTATTAACATCTACTGTACATGTGGGTGCTTAAATTTTCGGTGGCCTGATAATGGTCAGATACTCCTTTGCCACAGCGTATTTAGGTAGTGCACCCCAGGCTTTTAGTTGCAATATACCCCAGGCTTTTAGTTGCAATATATATCAGTCACACTTTTGAATTTATCCACAGAAAGCTCACTTATTTGTCTTATGAGAACTTACAGAGTAACAGCATAGCTAAGAAAAGCCACGACCTTGTCTCCATTTTTTAACCCTTTTACAGCAAATCCGGACTGAAATATGGTCTTAAGATAAAGAAGGATCATGAAAAATATAGTCATCCTCTATGTAAAAAACTATCTGTTAGAATAAAAATCAGTAATTTACAAGCACCCATTAATATGTCTTCTTACGCTTTTACTCTACACATTGAGAACAATTTAAGGAAAATGGTTGCAACCACGACACTTTCAAAAGAATAATAATGATCTAGCAAATTCTAAACTTGACATAGACCCTGAAATCAGTTAAAAACAGCTTTCTCACGAGAAAGGAGGTGGGGGGGGGGGGGAGCAGAGGGATGGATAAATAAATTAACTACTCGTATATGTCAAGTGAAGTCAAATTTCTTTGAAGTTTATCGATCAGGAGGCGAGAGTGGTATAAATCCTCGCAGTAGATGAGTGCTGAATGGACCCAAAATCTTGGGATTCATAGGTGCAGTGCCATCCACCCACCCCTAAAGTTCAAGCTCAACAAAAAAAGCTAAAATGGAATCTAAATTCACACGTTCCCAAACCTGACAGAGCACAAAAGATGACGATTAAGCTGCTCGTGTGAAGAGTGTAAAACACTACAACAGAATTGCCAATATGAGCGTATGACATACCAGGAATTGTTAGGAACTTGCGGGGAAGAATACAATTCCGTATCTTCCCCTCAATCACATTCCGAGTTGCTGCCTCAAATCTTAACCAATACCTCATCAGCCTTTGGGTCAGGAACAACAACCTCAACATGCTGCAGAGCAAGAAAACCTAATGAGAATACCTAGAGATAATATTTCTATTCAAGAATTATAAACTTTTTCTTGTTTAAGATGATTTTATCTACTCAATGAATGCATCAATAATTTAAATACACGGCATATACCAATACACTGGTGACTATGAGCAAAAAGTTAAAAGTAAATAACATTACATTCTCCTTTTTCTGATGCAACCGCACTGTAAAGGCTAAAAACATGACATAAGGGTGAAGAAATGTCAAATATCTAGCACCTTGGCAACGATCAATGGCAAGGAGTTCGAAATTTTCGAGGAGAACTTCGAGAGCAGGTACAAGTGCATTACAAAGGGATGGTAGGAGCCGATGCCATCGCTGGTAGAACAACACCACAATCATCATCATCATCATCAACATTAGACACAATAAGGGCATCCTAGATTATCAAGGCTTTAACATAGCACGAGCCACTAATCACTGAAAAAGTAAATAAAAAATCATACTAAACTACATCACACTATATAATTAGCACCCCATGATGCAATCAATGAATCAAACAAATGCTTCTTAATATCAATCTTAAACATAGACATCAATATAGAAGAATAAAATATAAGTAGAGCACATGGTTGAGATTGGCTTACCATTTTGCATAATGGGCATTTGGGCACCCTGTTGATTTGAATAGTACTTTATTGAAGCCAAAACATCTAACCCTTAGCACCAAGATTCACCATTTGACCATGGAAATAGAGTAAAACCCTGAAAATAGACAAAGAAAGGAGTTGTGAGAAAAATACAAAGCCATTAATAATGAACATTATTTACACTATAAAAGACAAGCAGGAAGATGCAGAAGACTCTTTCAATCTACATACCCTGTCAAAGAGGAATCAAACGACAAAGGTGTATTGTGACCACCATTGAAGCGAATTTCAATCCAAATGGGCCACAGAGTCCAATCCAAATTAATTCATTATAATTGAGCCGAAAAAGAAATGGAGAGAGATGGTACCTATTCGAGGTGAGATTGAACGGTGTAAGAAATCTCATGAAGATTCGAATGGTCAAGAGCTTCCATAACCTGATTGTGATTGGAAGAATGACTCCATTATTTTCTTTGTTGAACTTCAAAACCAACAATTCAGAGATATCAAATTCACTTCAAACCCTGAAAAAAATAAATCAATTCAAACAATATACAAATTCCACAGTAAGGCTAAAAAACCAAAAACACATGCAAAAAAAAAAAAAAAATCACGCCCAACTCACCACGCGAGGTGCTAATCGATGAAATCAAAGCTCTGAACTTTGAGTGAAGAGGCGTCTACTGCAATTGAATTTTGATTTAGTTGGATTAGGTTAAGAGGTCAAAACCCTAGATCTAAGAATTGGAAATTGACTCTAATAAAGAGTTTTAACTAATAACCACAAAAAGTGGCAAGCATTTTAAACTTGCTATTATGAAAAAAATACAAATGTGGCTAGTAAGCCACATTACTGTACAGATGAAGAAATTTCTGAATTAAAAATATGGTTTCAGCAAGTATTTTAAATCGAGAAGTTCGAATCAGTCTGAGATAATGCTAATCATCCTTGAGCTGTCTGTGAAAAGATAGTGCCTCTCCACTACTCTTAATAGTCAAGGTGAAGTAGTTACCATTACTCTAATTATCACATAACTAAATGGCAACATGAAGGAAATTTGACAGCTTACAGTTTCTTGTTTAACATGAATACTCACCAGTTAAACAATAGATTGACAAAACTTTTTTTTTTAGGTTATAATTAAAAAACTTACTCATAGCTAATCTATGATCTATGTTCTTATAGTCGACATAAACAACAGTGACAGCACGAATTTCAGAGAGCTACAGTAAAGGTCATACAGTGCCCACAATATTATGCATAGAAATTGAGAAGTCACTTTAAAATAACAACTCTGTAATCCTGCTTACCTCAGCTAAGAAAGCATTCATGAGTTCTCATTTGTAACATACAAAAACAAAAAGAGCTTACCTCAGCTACCTCAGCTAAGGTAAGCTCAGCTAAGAAAGCATTCATGAGTTCTCGTTTGTAACATACAAAAACAAAAAGAGCATACGAAGCATAGACTAAGCAATGAGATAATAATCCTAATGCTTTTCAATTTCTATCATCCAAAATAACAGGATTATCAAACAATAATCAAAATACACAACTAAAAACAGCAGTAACATGAACAAAAATCACAACCCAGATCCAATTATCAATCAAAAACTAAAATTAATTCCAAATGGGGGCAAATTAAAACCAAGCAAAAGTACCTGAATCATAGGTTTTTCAAGAATATCAACAAGGACGCAGCTTCATATTCTCTATTACTCAAACTTGTCTTTTGCTTGGTCAAATTATCTCAGCAATTCTAGGCGGCTGCCGCTGTGCTCTTCGTGAGTGTCTTCGGTGAGAAGAGGAAGAAGGAAGAGCATGAGAAGAGGAGAGAGAAGTATGCGTGTGTGATGGAGGAGAGACCGAGACAGAGAACAGATGAATAACCACTGGATGACAATTGGACAGTAAACAAAAGCACTTTAGTTGGACTTTTTTGAGGGCAAAAACGTCCAAACACTGTAGATAAGCAAAGTCTAGAGTATTTGTGATAGCAAAAATGTAGATAAGCATTGTCCTTTTATAGCACTCCTTATTTGTAAGTTGGGGCTTTTAGAGGGTAAGTGATGAGTGTCATTCATGACACATTTTAGGGTGGTTTTTTTCCTTAGTTTAAGGTTTATTTTGGTGTTTCTTTGTTATTTCTAGTATGTTTAGTCTTGTCTTAGTTTATGGTTTTAGGCCTTAATTGTGAATAATATGCATTTTGCTCGGTTTCTAGCTTGATTTGCGTGTTTTCCTATGTGTTCTTTCACTCTTTTCTCTCTTGGTCAATTTGTGTAGGTGCTTGGCGCTTTCTTCGATGCTTATGACCCGAGAGAAGGCAAAAAAGTTCAATAGAAGAAGCTTGAAACTAAGAAAGAAGCTAAGAAGTTGAGCAATTGTAGCACTTAAGGCAAAAACCATCCGAGCACCCCGAGCATCACCTCAAGCAGCTGAAAGTGACAGCCAAGTAGCAGCAAAGAGCGGCCCAGGCCACTGGGGGCACGGCTGATGCTGCCGTGGGCGCGACTCTTTGTTTTTCCCAGCCTTTGCAACTTCTTGGAGATGCCTCGGAGAAGCTGCTGCCGCGGACGCGGGTTTCTGGGTGTTTTTCGATCTTAATTTTCGGATTTCCATCTATTTCTTCTTGTAATATATATAAATAGAACGATTTCTTAGACTTCCGAAAGCAAGTTTTTACATTTTCTCTCTCCTCTAATTAGGATTAGGCTTAGATTAGGAGTTTCTCTCTCTAGTTTAGGAGTAGTTTTAGAGAGAGAAAGCTTGGGATTTCAATGGAGATTTGAGAGCTTGAAGAAGCTTTTATGTGGATTCTCTTCTCAATTATTCAATGAGCTTTTCTTTAATTCTTGTTTTTACTTAATTCTTTGTTGATTAGAGTAGATAATTAGTTTACTTGTTTGATTCTTGCTTTAATTCTTATTTTACCTTGTTTTCCATGTTTTTCTTCATTATGTTTGCTTAGATTTTGTTCTAGGAAAATGGATGAAGGTTATGTTGATGAATTGAGTGATTGATTGTGATTAGTATGCAATTGATTCTTGATTATTGTGTTTGGATGATGCTTACATTGATTGGAATCTTTTTAGCTAATTGATTCTAGGTTCTTAATTGTGCTTTCAATCAATTGTGCGGAAGTGAGTTGATTAAGAGTCGAGATTCTTCCATACCTTTGCAGGGCTAGTTGCGCGGGAGTGAATTAGCTTAGTAGGATAATTAACATGCTTAATTGCGCGGTGTGAGTTGAGTGTGTTGATCGTTCCTAATTGAGATCATGATCTTTTAATTGCAATTTGTTGTTGAATTCGTTAATGTAATTGGATTCCACTTCCCCTAGTTTATGTTAATTGCTTTAAGTGGTGTTTTAGTTGTGTTTTAGTTGTTTCTCTCTCTATCTCACAACCTTCCTACTAGTTTAATTAGCTCAAATTAATACACTTAGTCCTTGTGGTTCGACCCTACCTTGCCACTATCTTGTGCAAACTTGGTAGAGTAAGATTAGGAATATAAATTGTTGATTTGATCTAGGATAGTAGACCTCGACCTATTATTCGGCGATTATTAAGGATACAACCTTTCGATTATACATTAATATTACAATCTTTAGGGGGTGTTCATTTTTTACAGGCAAAAGTCGGTTGGTAACCTATAAAATACAAGTTACCATGACACGTGTTGTTTTTTATTGGTTTTGTAAATTTGATTTGATTTTTTTAAAAATTATTTAATATTTTTAATTTTTAAAATATATAAAATAATTATTATATTATTATTATTATTATTATTATTATTATTAATTTAAAATAAAACCACCCAACCACCTCCCCCACCGGTTGGTAACCATCAGCCCCCTTCCCCCACCCCGGCGGCCGGCTGCCGGCTGCCGGCGATCAGTAATTCAGTATCCCCCAACGCTGACCGACCCCTTTCTCGACATCCCCGATAACAACATTTGCACATTCTGCTATCTATCGCCCCTCCCCTAAACACTAAACACACTGCAGATCCTTCCACAACCAAGCTGAAGCCCAGCCGCAGTCAAACCGAAGCCCAGCCGCAGCCAGGCGAAGTGCGCAGCCGCGTCAACCATCTTGGGTAGCAACTGAATCGTGCAGCCCTTGCACGTTTCAGCCACCACCCCTCCCTAAACGGCCGCCAACTCAGCCCAAATCCCCAACCCGACACCGATCCCCGCCCCAAACCACCCCAAAAACTGACCCCCCCCTCCCCAAAACCAACCCTCTCCTGTTTTCTGACCCCCATAAACCCTATATCCCCACCCAAAACCACCAAAAAACCGTTTAACCCAGAAAACCCGAAACCTTAGAAAATGGGTTTTCTGGGTGATTCGTTTTTTGTGGTGGGGATGGGTGTAATTTTTGGGGTTAGCCGGCGCTGGGGGAGGCTGCTCACTAGTGTATTGGTGGCTTTAATTACCGCCTGGTGGTGCTTGTGGGATCATCGAAGGGAGCTGCTGCGATTGTTTGTTGGGTGGCTTAAGGTGGTGCTGATTGTGGCTGTTGTAGTGGCTGTGAGGAAGCAAGGTTGTGAGTGAGGGAGATGCGGTGGTGGTTCGGTGTTGCTGTTGTTGGTTGGGCGGTGATGGCAGGGGAAAAACAAGGGAATGTGAAGAAAACAAGGGAGGGGGAGAGGTGGTGGTGGCAGGTGGGTGGATTTTTTTTTTTAATTAAAATTATTTTATTAAAAAATTAAAAGTTAATTAAATGTTAAACAATTTTAATTAAAATTTAAAAATCTATATTTTATTTTTTAAAAATTTTAAACCAATTACATGATGACACGTGTCATGGTAACTTGTTCAACATGTTACAAGTTTTTGTGCCTGTTTAAATTGAACACCCCCTAAAGGTTGTAATATTAATGTATAATCGAAATGTTGTATAATTAAAAACGAACGGGTCAAAGGTTGTATTATTATTTGCAGTTTTTTCCTACATATAAAAATATTTCGTTTGAGTGTGTATGCAAAAAATATAATCGCCAAAGTGGAAGGTGAATATTATAGGTTATCATTGGTTTCGATTTTAGTATTAAGCTTTTGATTGATTATTGATGTCACGTGAAGATAGGAAAGCAATGCAAGGTTTTTTTTTTTTTAAATGCTTGGCTACTCACGTGATCCTTTTTTGTCGTAAATCAATCAATCTATACTTTATATATTAAAAAGTGTTCCTAATACAGAATATGTGCTGTCATCAATCAATCAATCTATACTTTATATATTAAAAAGCGTTCCTAATACAGAATATGTGCCACGTATCGCCTTTTTTAAACACTACAAACATGCTATGTCAGTAATATGTGTCACGTGTCACGTGTCACATCTTTGAACTCTATAAGAGTGTCATGTCACCTCCACAATATGTATTAGATTTGACAATGTAGACTTGAACTTGAGACCAAGAAGTAGTCAAGTTACAAGTTTACCACCTTAGCTATTCATTTACAACGATTTTTTACCCAACAAAATTATATTAATCTTTCTTTTCACATCACCAAAAGTCTCCTTTGCCCACTCTTGCAATATCGCAACACATAAGCCAACTCTCGCACTAATGGGTTGCGTTGCACCCTTGGTCGCATGCTCCTATGCCTCCTTGATCACACCTTGACATTCATCGTTGGCCGGCTACATAGCCTTGAAGAAAAACTTCCTGCCACCCCGACGACCTCATTAGCAGATAGCACAACCAAGGAGAACCTTCCACAAGGGCCAATTGAGGCCTGACCCTTAGTATATTTTTTTAACGAAAGAGTTAATGAACTTAAATAGTCTAAGATTTGCCACTAAAGACAATAGGGGGCGTGGTCAGTATAGTTGATCGGGTAGTGACGAACCGAGCGATGCTCGAGGGAAATTACTACTCTAATTCCCACAGGCAAGGAACCTATCCAACCTTTCTGTTAAGATTACAAGCCCAACGGGAGGAAAAAGATCGTTGGTACATGTGGATGTTTGGTAAGTTGAGTTTAAGGGAAGGTTTGTTAGGAAATAAACTAAACTTACCGAATACCAACAAGATTTGTTTTGGGAAAATATACGATGTATCCTTTATGTATTTCTATTTTTTATGCTTTCCTAGTTAGATGAGGATTAACTAGATAGATTTTAGGATATATAATCAATTTAGGATATTTAGGCTTTGGGAACAAGTTAAATATCCTAATTGATGTTGGTTTCCAGGTTATTCTATGTAAAAGGGTTTAGGCTTATTAGAAAATTATGATGGATTAAAATGATGGTTTATTGAGGAAGAAAATCATCTAAGAGGGTTATTGTTTTATTTTGTAGGAACTTAATAAAACAATATTTTGTTTGAGGGGAGGAAATCTAAATTTCCACATAAACATTGTCTCTTTTATTATCGTGTTTTGCTATTTATTCTATATTGAGTTTGAGGGTGAGTTCCCAAATCGTTCCATTGTATCAATCCATTATAACACTTTCTCTCACAATACATTCTAAATCGCCCCCCCTTTGCCAGGTAAAAATGCTCCCTCGACACCCCAAATCCTCCAAAGATCAATCTTCAAATCCTTTCACTCCTTTGACCACCTCCATACTTCTCATCCTTACATAATACATTGGAAAATGTAACACCCCTAATTTCTGAACTCCATAAAAAGTATTGATGAAAAATTATAAAATACTTTATCCGTTTTTTTTAGTTGACGCTGTTTGAATTTTACAATATTCACACATTGCACTTTGACTCGCTTTTGTGATTTATAGATTCGATAAAACATAGTCACATAAGATCTTGTTTGAATCATCTCAATGTATATTTTAGTATTATCCACTTTATATAATTTTACAATGTTGATAATTAGAGATATTAATTATTAAAAACATGCGTTGACAAGCGTGATAGTAGAAAGGTGTCAACTGTACTAAAAAAAACAGAGGGAGTAGAAAATTAGGGATGTTATCGCCTCACTTAGACCATAAGCCTTTAAGTGATGATAAGGCTACTTATATCACTACGTAACCAAATTTATCCTGAAACCAAAAACCTAACATAATTAAGTCACAATCTTTACAAAACTGCGACATTAGTTCAACTAAGCTTTAGATAAGTGTCTCAAATTCCACTACATTATTACTAATAAAACTTAGTTAACTTTAGGGACCGCACTCTCAAATTGAGTCACATAAACTTGAAATTAAAGAAACATATGCAAGAAGGAAATAGCAAAGTCAATAAAAACTGAATAAGTACTATTTCACCCCGTAACACAGTTTTTGAAATATTTCTTTACCATGGAAAAATATATTTTGTTTTAATAACTTATACACAAACAACTTAAACACATTTTTCAAAATTTACAGATTCAAATAATTAATTTCTTTGAGGAAAGAGGATACAATATTATAATGCCACCACAAAATTGTAGATTCGAGTCTACCACCCAAAATAGGTCTTAATCTTTAAGTGTGCACACCCTCCATTAAGCTAGTGTTTTTAACTCAAAGATGGAAATAAATATGGAAAGACCTATTTGGTAACTAATTAAGTAATGAAGTCTTAGTTTGTATGGATGTTTTTCCACAAAGTATTATTGCTTTGGCGGAAAATGATTTAATTTAATAAATGCCGGCCTAATGTTTCCTAAGTCTTCTAAAAAAAGCTAATTAGTTAATGAAAAGACCTAATCTAGTTATCTTTAAGACTTGATTAGCAAATTAGTACACTGCCCAACCGATTGTCATTTGTAATTAATTGGATATGGAAAAACCGAAAGACCTAAATGGTATTCGACAAATAAACTGGCTAATTTATAATGTAACATACGAAGTAGAATGATAGAAACATAAAATATGGAGAGAGCAAATGAGGTTCTACATTTGAGGTCGAACGAGTCGGAGATGGTTTCAGAAATCGTGGTTAACCCACACGAGCCCCAAGTCGGACCCAGTTTCTATGAAGATTTTGCCCTTAGAGGCATCAGAGTCCACCGAGTTCAACCCGGGTTCATCTTCTGCACCTTCAAGGTCCCTCCTCGCCTAATTGTAAGCTTCCCCATCAAATTACTACTATGAATTTAATTTAATTAATTGATTATACGAAACCGGTATTTAATTATTGGGATTTTTGAAGGGTATTATAATCTAACAAAATGTGCTAATTTGTGCTTCAATTAACCTAGAAAATTTAGAATCAGATGGGTATTGATCTCTTAATCTATTGGTTTCAAGTATTTAATCCTGAAGCTTCACTTTATGGTTGTAATTTTTCACAATTTGGGGTTTGAAAAAATGGTGTATGATTTTGTAGTGGATAGATTGGTAATTTATGATTAGAAATTTGGAATATGTTTGATTTTGTGGCTAGGTATTGTTTGTCTTGTTTCAGAATATGATGTCTAAGGTTGTTAACTTGCTATGGATAAAAATTGTAGAAAGATGATGATTGTAGGGTATGGACTTGAATAAACATTTGGTACAACTACGAAACATAAACCTTTTCTCACTGATTACTGTGTTTAATTTCTTACAAGTGTTGCCTTGCTTGTCATGTCAGGTTCTTGCCGGTTTGCTACCTTAGATTTTTCTGTTATTTTGTCATGTGTAACTTGAAGAATTTGATTAAAGCCTAAAAGGACTCGAGTTATGCTCTTTATTCATTGGATTCAGAATTCCTTCATGCTCCATGTTTAGATACCCTTTCATTGGATGAATGAGTTTCCGTAGGTGTCAACTCTTATTCAGTTCTTATGAACAACTTATTGCAGGACCGAACAGGGAACCTGGCTGGTGGTGCAATAGCCAATCTCATTGACATAGTTGGTAATTCATTAATCTATCGACTTGGCCAGCCTATGAATGTATCGGTTGATATGTCCATCTCATATCTGTCAAATGCAAAGCTTGATGTAAGTAAGCATTGTTTTGCAATAATATGGAGTATGTTTTTTTTTTCTTTTTCTTCTTTTGGTGATGACTTCATGATGAATTTAGGAATGAACCTATGGATCTGAAAAGGATAGAGTGAATTATTTAAGACTCTGAAAATTGAGTTTCTGACTTCCTATCCGTATAAATTAACTGAAGCTGCTGAAGCTTGTTTCTGAAGTTGGGATGTGGAGTTTGTTTCTCGAGTTCTTATTTCTCAAATGATTTGTTGCCTTATCTTTAATATTCTCCTTTATAGGCATGTATTGTTTATCATTTTCGTCTAAATATTGGCAGGATGAGCTGGAGATTACATCAAAACTGCTAGGTAAAATTGGATCTGTTTCTGGAACTTCTGTAATCATTAAGAAGAAGGCGTCTGGAGAAATTATTGCTGAAGGACGACATTCGTTGTTTAGCAGACTGAAAAGTAAAATCTGATACTAATACCATGACTTTTATTGTTCTTGTACTTGAGCAACTATTGTTCTGATACTAATTCTAGATGCTTAACTATTGTATTGGATCTCACCAGTTCACTGATGTTAGTGATGTTGTGGATATTGTGATGTGTATAAATAAGGAGTCGCAGATTAAAAAAAATAAAGGAATTAAAAGAGTATTAATTTATTGCATGCTTTTATTTCAAGTGCTCTTTAGTTTGTACAAACAACTTGAATTCTGTTGGATTTTTTAAACATTTGCAAAATTCTAATGCAATGTAGGTAATTTAAGTAGGGTTTGAGTTTGGTGTTAATGAACACAACTAAATGACTAATTAATTTCTCTCAGATCCCCCCTCCTCTCTTGCTGGGGCCTGGGAATGCAAGTAGATACAGAAGTTTATGAATGCAGCTTGCATATATATGGAATTCAGGTTCTCAACTGCGTATTGGGAACGTGTAGTGGTGTGGTACTGTGGTGTGGTGGAACACTTTTGGACTAATTTAACATGATTAGGTAGTGATTTGTGTTGTGTATTAGAAATGAACCATTAATTAGGGAACACTTGTTTAAACATTATAGCTCGGAGAATATTTGAGCTAAGATAGCTGATTCTTAGCTTGAAATCATTCTTGGTAGATTGGAAGTTTTGAAAAAGTCGTTGATTACCTTGGGTCTTTGGAGTTTGGAAGCATATTTCATATATTGTGCAGGATCATAAATTCATACTGTATTATCTAGTGAGAAGACCTCCACTATTGAGTCCTAATAATTAGACATATACATGATACATCTGCATTGGAGTTTTTAATAACTTCGTTATATCTTGAGAGTGTTGGTTCTCTCAGGAGAACTGAGAGAGTGAACAGCCCTGGGGCAGCCTGGGAACCCGGGAATTCAAGGTGAGCTCTAGCTGAGCCATAACACACCCTTCTTGCTCCATTTTTTTATGCTCTGTTTTGTGTCCTGAGCTATGAATTCTCTAATTATGACTGTATGATGGATGTGTCAATGGGTTGTTACCTATCAATCTGTTTCAGAGACTCTGAATTTTCGCATATCTCAATGGAAAGTCAGTTCTAAAATTAATGGAGAAAGGGAAAGGAAAAAGAAACCTGTACTTAAAGATAAGTGCAAATGATAAAATCATCATGAAAGATTCAAGTTGAGGTGATCATATTCCTATCTAATCGTTACGCATCCATGTCAACTGCCTGAATCCTGTTACTGGAAATAGGTTTGTTGATTAGTAAGTTAAGGATTGCTTACCTTGTTCTTTTCAACTTGTGTATTTGTACATATTTGGTTGAAATAAGGGCATAATGAGTCGAATATGATTTCTTGTAAAAAAAAGAACTATTTCTGGAATTTCTGTTGTTATCAAGAGAAAAGCATCTGGAGAAATAATTGCTGAAGACAAGATTTATACTTTAGCAATATGGAAAGACTGTATAATGTATAAAAATAAAAAATTTACTAAGTAGAGAAGAGTTGTATAAAATATTATGAATTGTTGATGAAGCATATTAAGATTGCTCATGAAGATGATGGATGCATTGCCTTCTTAAAACTTTGAACGTAATCTCTTATTTTAGTTACTATGTTAATATCGTAAAATTACTGGCAGTGTAGTCAAGTTAATACCATCGAATTAATCTGCTTATGGTCATTTACTCATTTGCCTTGTGCTAGCAAAGTCTATATTTTGAACATGATTAATAGATCATTAGATGAGTCTTTCTCTAGTGTAAAAGTCTCTACTATAGCAAAGTTAGCAACAATGACTCAAATAAACTGAGGCTGTTTGTTTGTGGTGGGATAGGGATTAATAATCCCTTGTATTTCATAATCCCTTGTTTGTTTAATGGGAATTGTTCTATCTCATATAAAAGGGATAGGGATAAAAAATAGAGTTATCCCTCTATTTTTTATAACAAGGGGGCAGTTATCCCTCTATTCTTATAACAAAGGGGACACGTATAAGGTTTGGGATTAAAATTGAAAAATAAAAGACAATTTTCCCTTAAAAGGGAAGGAATAGGAGAGAGGAGAAATGCTAGTAAGGATAGTCAAGTAATTTTACTACTTATCTTAATTTAATTCCCAAATCATACCAAATAATGGATAACATAATTTTTATCCTTATCCCACTTATTAATTCTCTATCTTTATCCTACCTTCTTATCCTCATCATCCCTATTCCTGTTACCAAACGCCCTGTATGAATATAATGTATGAATCTATTTTTTACATAAATTGAATTTGATAATAAATTAATAACTAAGTTTGAATAATTAATAAAAAAAATCAAGGCAAAGAGAACACGGGATTAGGCTACTTTAATCCAGTTTACTATCCCAATTTAGGATAACTGAAGTTTGAGACTATCCCTATACTATAAAACTCACATATTCTCTCTCCTCTACCAACCTCAGTCCTCTTTAACAACAAACCATGAACACCTTTGCCTCTCCTCCAACCTTGAGCAACAAACTCCAAATTCCCCCAATTTCACCTTCTGCAAACCCTAAATTCCTCTTCTTCTCCAATCTTTCTCTCTCATCCGCACAATTAGCTCCTCCTTCCATCACCAGACGCTCGATTCTTCCTCCCTTCCTCGCCGGCGCTCCGTCTCCGGTATCACCGGCAATCAAGCTCCGTCATGGTTTTCCATTGTTACTCGCCGGAAAAACTAGGGTTACTCCCGGAGATTCTCCCTTCCTCGCCGATAATGGCGGAGGAGAGAGAATGGAAGCGCCGAGTTTTTTGGAATTTTTGACGTCTGAGCGAGTCAAGGTTGTGATGATGCTGGCTTTGGCTCTCGCTCTTTGTAATGCTGATCGTGTTGTTATGTCGGTTGCCATTGTTCCTCTTTCTCTTTCTTATGGTTGGAGCCGATCATTTGCTGGCGTTGTTCAGGTCATTCATCTTTGATAACTCCGAATTAATTTTCTGTATTTCGAATTTCTTTTTTCTTCTCATAATTATCTTGATTTTCTTACAATTTTAACAATTCTGCAGGTTTCAATTACTTGATTAATTTTTGTGTAAGTCTTGTTTCCATTTTTGCATATGTATGATGGATAATTTGTTGTCATTGCTTTCACTCGTGATAATATTGAGTTATTTGGACAATTTTCATGGATACGTGAAACTGCCTTGAGTTGCTTGCTTGTTTAACAGTTTTGCAGGTTTAAATTCCTTGTTCAATTCTTATTTAATGTCATTTTTCTGGATTTGTGTATATATATATATATATTTCGGCATCATTTTTTACTTTATTTGTTGCTCTATTAGTAGGTAGCTAGCTTGTGAGTTGCGACGATGTCTATTTATATTTTTTACTATTTTTTTTGTTACTTTACTAATCGCTGTTGCTATTTTTTATATTGATAACTTGATAATCACCTGCTTTTGATACCTTTGAATTTGTGCTTTAGGAAAGTTATTATCTCAATTTAAATGCAATTATCGTTGTATTGGAAGTTTAATTGCTCTTTTTGTTCCAAAACACGTATTATTTGGCTCCTTAATGGTATCACTTACCTGGAGGGAATGTTAAAGGTTGATTAAGGAATGAGAACATCAAAATTTAAATGCAAAACATTTCAAATACTTGTAGATTGATCTATATAATGTAAAATTGAGTTAGTCGATGGATAGAAGAGTGGGATGCATGGTGGAATTCCTCTTGTCCCCTACATCTACTAGTTTCTTTTTGGTCTATGCATCTCAACATTTTTTGTGCACCTAAAATTTAGGGAAATTGCTGAAGTGCCTAAAGATTTAATTCTGTTTGCCAATCAGTATGAATGATTAACTTTGTTATGACTAGCTAAAACTTACCTAGAGCAAGGCAATAGTAGTTTGTGACGATATAATGAAAATTTATTGACTAATTTAATGTACGACTAGTACAGTAACTTGATATCACTAGTTTAGGATTTAATCTTAAGTAAAATTAAGAATACGTGTTTCTTGTTTCCGCTGCTGCTGCTAATCCAAGTTACTGTTGCTGCTTGCAGTCATCTTTTTTGTGGGGATACCTTGTATCACCAATAGCAGGTGGAGCTCTAGTGGATTACTATGGTGGTAAAGCTGTCATGGGATGGGGTGTTGCTTTGTGGTCCTTTGCTACTTTTCTTACTCCCTGGGCAGCTGAAAAGTCTCTCTGGGCTCTGCTTGCCATGCGAGCTATGCTTGGCATTGCAGAAGGTGTAGCTCTTCCTTCGATGAACAACATGATATCCAAGTATGTACACCATGTCTATTATTTGGAATTTAATGTTGACTGGTCATTTTGATCCAGCTTCTAACTTTTTGATTTATATTTCTTGTTTGTCGTTTTGTGCACTCAATACTGCAATTGTGTAATGAGCTTCTCTGTTTGAACCCTTTTCTTTTCAGATGGTTTCCTAAAGCAGAACGAGCAAGAGCTGTTGGAATAGCAATGGCTGGGTTTCAGCTTGGTAGTGCTATTGGACTAATACTTTCTCCAATCCTAATGTCTAATGCCGGTGTGTTTGGACCATTTGTGATATTCGGATTATTTGGATTTCTCTGGGTTGTTGTATGGTTGTCTGCTACTTCTAGTATTCCAGAGAGAAGCCCTCAAATCTCTGTGTATGAACTAAAATACATACTAACAAAGAGGCAACAATCTGCTCCATCCAATGCTGGGAAGGCACACAAAGCTAGAGTGATCCCACCTTTCAAGCGGCTGCTGTCTAAGCTTCCTACTTGGTCACTTATGGTTGCCAATGCTATGCATAGTTGGGTAATGATCTTGATCTGATCCTCTATCTTGGCATTATATATGTCATTGACTGCTCTGCCTAATACAACAAAATTATGTCTTTCTCTTCTTGCTAAGGCAAGTATTTTTTTTTTCTTGTGCAGGGCTTCTTTGTTATTCTTTCCTGGATGCCGTTGTATTTTAACAGTGTGAGTATTAAAGTTTGGGTTTCTGTGTGTGAAGTCACATATGTGATGTGATTTTTCTTCGAATGGTTATTTGAATGTGGTTGCAGGTATATCATGTTGATCTTAGACAAGCAGCATGGTTTAGTGCTGTTCCATGGAGTATGATGGCGCTTGTGGGATATTTTGGAGGTGCTTGGTCAGATACGTTGATCCAGCGTGGTTTCAGTATCACTTTGACCAGAAAAATCATGCAGGTTGGTGCTTATATATATCTGCATTTCAATCATTTTGTGTTATAGGCCTCCTTTTTCTTGCTGTACAGATATTTAGAATTGAGTGCCTATATTCTCTTCTTCTCTAGTTGATTTAGTCCTTTGAAACCATTTTTTTTAACTTTGTATAATAGCCGTGTTTATCAAAGCAATTTCATACTTGTTTTGTAGTCGACTAGTTGTCAATTGAATACCTGTTAGGTTTCAAGTACTCTTATGTATTTATCTGTTTGCTTCATCTTATACTTTTCATTTTATTTTAAATGGCCTCTCTAAAACTGTCTAAATTGAAATTGTTTGTTATGCAGTCAATAGGATTTATTGGCCCTGGCATTGCTCTTATTGGTCTGACTACCGCAACTAGCCCATCTATAGCTTCTGCTTGGCTCACATTAGCTGTTGGACTAAAGTCATTCAGTCATTCTGGTTTCCTTGTCAATATTCAGGTTTGTTGCTTCTGAAACTTAAATTTTTTAGTATCACAGTGCCATTCAGTTTATGTGCTCATGCAATATCTAATGACATAGTATGTTTGCTCTCTTCTGATTCCAGGAAATTGCTCCACAATATACTGGCATATTACATGGTAATTTATTTTTATTATTTATTTAATGTGTTATTCAGGGATTTCAAGATTAAGATGGGAAAGATGGAAAATGACTTTATTTTTTTAATCAGTGGATTTCTGGATTCTTTACTTGATGCAATTTATATCTACAGGGTTGGCAAATACAGCTGGAACTTTCGCTGCAATTCTGGGAACTGTTGGGGCTGGTTATTTTGTTGAGCTGTTTGGATCATTCAGAGGATTTTTATGGCTGACATCACTTTTATATTTTCTCGCTGCTTTATTCTGGAATCTATTTTCAACTGGAGAGCTTGTAAATTTCGATGCATCCAGTAAGTGTTGTGCCTTTAATGATTTATTAAGCACATTTCCAGGTTTCCACTTTTCAGTAGCTTCCTCACGACTGATAACATTTTTTTGACAAACTCCATCTATTCTTTGAATTGCAGATTCTTGAATCTGATTCTGTAAGGTGATACTTATCTGTAAATATCATGGAATAAACATACAGTTGAAAAGGCATATGACCAGAAGACAGAGGTTCTGCGACATCTCTTTATTAATCCCAAAGCACTGAAATGTCTGAATCACTCCTGCTGCAAATATCGAATTCATCATTCATGCATATGTGAGCAACTGTATAATTAACTTATTGCCACGTAGATACACTAACGAGGCTATCAGCAGCAGTGACCCTTGGTGTCTTGTATAAACTTCCCAGCTCCCTCCACCAGTCGAGGAATGATGATCGGACTCTGGGAGTGGACAACTAGGAATGATGATCGGACTCTAGGAGCGGACAACATAAAGACTTTCTGAGTTACTCTACCAATGGCTAGATGTTGAATGAAAATACCACTAGGCACTACTACTACTTACTGGTCAATGAAAGAGAGACTGTTAAGCAGGAAACATGTTCTATTCAAGACGAGGGGCCTTTCACTGTTGCAGTTATTTGGGCCCCTTGACAACTTGTTTTCTTTAACTCGTGTTTGAGAGTTAATAGAATACTCGAAATACGGTTGTACATAAAATTAAGTAGACCTTTCAACGTCTTTGACTAGCTGTATTTATTCAACAACTTGATGCTAGTTGCCTTGTAACTCAGGATTGATCTAGTCATTCTTTCACCATATTATTATACTATCATTAAAAGAATATCTCTACCAAATTGTGGAATTTATGCACCAGCAAATCATTATAATATATCTTCATCTTTTAGATCCAAATTGTTTCTAGTATAATTTTGCCTGGAGAATTTTATTTTAGTCGCGAATGAAGAAATCGCCTCTCTCTTCACCCAATTCCCAGCATGGAAACCAGGAAAAGAAGTCTCGTTTATACCAATTTATAAGGAAACTCGCCATAAGTTGCACAGCTTTTGGGTCCGAACCAGAAAGGGATGCCCCAGAACCAGAGCAATCTTATGGAAACAAGAACTCGAATCTGGAGCAATCTTATGGAAACAAGAACTCGAATCAGATTCATAGCAACTCATGTTAGTCCTTAATCACCCTTTACATTTTCTCTATTCTTTTTTTCTTTCTTTCTTTGGGTTACTGTCGATTTCTCATTATTCATGAAGGGATGCCCAGTTCATAACGGTTAGGAGCGCCTTTCTGTTCGTAGAGGGGACCTTCTGGTTTATTGATTGTGAAATTAGATGCAATAATCAAATTCATTTGATTATCTTGATGGTGTGAATTTTTGTGGTCAATGCTAAGTTGTTATATTTGTGAAAATGAGATAGAGTTGGATTGTGCTCTCATTTTACAGGATTTTAAGTAATATATACTTTGTATGTTCTATTTCAGCTGGGTTTTCCTTAGGAAGCAAAAATAAAGGATCTTCAGGGCAGCCAGATTCATTTAATTCGTCGGGATCAGTAAGCGGAGAGGTCTATGGCTCATTGAATTTTACTCTTCATGATATCAAGAAAGCTACAAAGAATTTCTCTCAGAATAATGTTATCGGAGATGGCGGTTTTGGGACAGTGTACAAGGGACAGCTGAAAGATGGAACTGTTGTTGCCATAAAACGTGCCAAAAAGGTAACAGGCTTAACATCTTATGATCAACAACTAACTCAAAGATTGTTATACCGGAGATATGCTCATTGACTTGCTTGATATGTGGCAGGATGTGTATAATATGCGCACAGCACAAGAATTCAAGAGTGAAGTCCTAGCCTACTCGAAGATAGAACACCTAAATTTGGTGAAGTTCTTTGGATATCTAGAGCACCCGGATGAAAAATTAATTGTGGTTGAGTATGTCGGTAATGGAACTCTCTTCGACCTTTTACATGGTAAGTCATTAGCCATAAGTTCTCCAGTGTATATTAATGATGAAATTCTATCCAGTATTCATCAAATAAAAAAAATATAATTTAATAGTTCGTAATGATGGCTATTATATCGGTGAATAATGTTGTTATAATCTGATACTGAATGTCAGCGAATGCTGGTACATTGTCCTAGCACATTTAGATTTTCGAAAATGAAAATTTAACCATTGCAGTATGCTGTGTCCTCAGTGAGCATGTATTGCATATAACACCTTCATCTATTTTAAATCTTGTCTGAGGAAGTTGACTTTGTTTGAATTGCAATGCAGGTAATCGGGGACTAGTGCTTGAGCTTCCTGAAAGACTGGATATTGCTATTGATGTAGCTCATGCAATCACATATTTACACAGTTATAACGGTAGGTGCATTTCAAGCTCCAGAGAACCTTTTTGGCCTTAGTCTGGATTGCAATTATATCATACATGTTCTTTTTATGGATTTTGATATGAAACCAAATCGTCAAACATTTTAAGAACTCTGATTGTGAATGGATAATTCAATGCTGCTGTTATATATATATATACTTTGTACATTATTAGTTTGAAAACAAAAATTCATTTCCAGAAATTACAGAAGCAATTTTAGTTGGTACTACTGTCTGATTCCTGAATGCTTACTGAATTACTTAAATTCGTTTATAGAATTAGTACATTGATTAAATGAATCCCTCTTTTGTTGCTTCTGCAATTGACAGATCCTCCAATTATCCACAGAGATATAAAAGCATCTAACATTCTCATCACGGAGAAATTTCGAGCTAAAGTAGCAGATTTTGGGCTTGCTCGATTTGTCCCAGAGGGTGCAGATGTAACCCACATATCTACTCAGATCAAAGGGACTGCTGGATACTTGGATCCTGAATATATGAAGTCTTATCAGTTGACTGAAAAAAGTGATGTCTACTCTTTTGGTGTATTGCTTGTTGAACTCGCGACAGGAAGACACCCAATTGAACCATTGAAAGGGGTCAAAGAGAGATCTACCACAAGATGGGTGAGCATCCTAGTTAACTATCTTTGACTAATTTCTTAGTCAAGAAAAAAGATTAATGGTCTACCTTGTATTTATATCTTGACTTCCTTACTTTGTGCAACTTATGCTGTTTCAGCTTTAGTAACTAACATGAAAAAACAGTCCAACTTAGTAAACTTTTGACATCATAATACAATTTTCTTTACCCTGATCATTTTTTTTATTTTTTTTGTCCAATTTTGGTCATTTAGAATCAACAATAAGCACCTTGACCTAGTAGGCCAGTAATAAGACTATACGAGATTATCTTCAGGTTCAGACTCTTATCCAGTAACCAGTTTAGTGCCATGTTCAGTTTAGGAATTTCTGAACTTTCCTGAGTTACCTCTTTCATTATCTTAATTCCGATTGGGGTGACTTCCAATATTGTATTTCTCTGTTTATTCAGCTTAGATAAAAAGTAACCTGTCATGAGCGACATCTGTTTAGAACAACACTACATCAGACATTACCTGACATTATAACTCGATTCCTTTGATTAGCCATTTGTTTCTGTATTCGTCTTCATGAGCAATCTTCTAATATGTTGTATGTCACTTTAGTTTCACATGAAATCGATCTTCGTGATGGCTTCATGATTAAAAACAACAGATTTAAAGATCACAAAAACAAAATATTTTAAGAATCATAAGATAAATGTCCTGCATCTTAAGCCTCATGTTATGACCCTTTGGTTTGCTAAGTTAGCTAAGCTAATCTCTTTATACAGGCAATGAGCAAGCTAAGAGATGGTATGCCAGTGCTGGCAATGGATCCTAAGCTGAACAGAAGTCCGACATCCATCAAGGTAATCGAAAACATTCTAGAAGTTGCCAAGAAATGCACTGGGCCAATTAGGCAGTCTAGACCATCCATGAAGGATTGCGTTGAGGCGTTATGGGCTATTAGAAAAGAATTTAAAGAGCGAAATCAGTTGAACTACTCTGCTTCTCATAGATCCGTCGATATACTTGAAAAGGATGCAAGAAAGATACGCCAAGAATCATTGGGGATTGTAGGAGAGAGCTACTCTTTTATGTCTGCATAGTCAAATTGTAAAGGGTGTTATGTAAATTCTTGAGTTCTCTCTATATCTAGTATAGTCCTATCCTTTACCATTATTTGCAGCATGCAGAAGGTCAAATGTTAATTTAGAAAATTTTGTTGTATAGATGATTGATTGGAAATGTAATTTGTGATTTTTGTTACAATGATTGCTGGCTTCCTGTAGTTCTATTTTAATTGGTTAATCACTTACAGCCTCATTTGGCTTGAAGGATCATATATTTTTACTCTGATAGCTCGACTGTCATAACAACCTTTGATTTTGATGTGTTTAACCCTAAATAGTGTAAAGTAATTATCCTAATAAAAGCATCAATAGTGACTGTTTACAGTAACTACTAATTAATACGATTATGAAAACTAGTACCAATGTGTATTGTCAATATGGATTATTGCCTATTAAGGGTTAATATCCTTAATCGTGGATTGATATTTGAAAAGGTAATGCGTCCCACTTTCTTTCAATATCTATAGAAAGGATGGTTGTAACTTGTAAGGAGTATAATTTTCACTTTTAAACAAAGTAAAAAATAGTTTAATACAATAATAATTGTAATAATTTAACACTTGAAAGGTGAAAAAATAGAATTGTGCCTATTATTATCATAGAAAAACGAGAGGCTGTTGATATTATACCATTGAAAATAATATCTCAGATTCCAGATTCCACCCATCTCCCAAGTTGGAGGAAGAAGACGAATACAAATCAATTTTTTCCATACTTGAATTACATACACCTTTTTATTTTTGCTTGCACTTTTAAAGCAAAAAATAAAAAAATTATCGTTAAGCGCGCTCTTTTTAAACCCTCCACGTGTCCCTTCCCAAAAACTTTTCCAATCTCAATATTTTTTCATCACTCAATTTACTCCTCTCTCTCTCCTCAATCATTCCTCGTGAATCGAACTGCTTTGAATCAATCAAATTCCAAAAGTTTGCCAAATCTTAATTTTTCATTTTTATTTTTCAGAAATTCAATCATAAACTGCCAAAGATATCAGTTTGTCTGCATTTTCTGCAGTCATTTTCGTCAAATTTCTTTCGCATATTCTTTTTCTATCGTTCTCCAATTTTTCAGAAAATATCTCTGCAATTTGCAATTTATTTTCACTATTTCTACATATATAACGCTTCATTTTATTTGCTTTTAGATATTATTTCTCAACTTTTTTTAATAATCATTATTGTTTCAGCTGGTGCTTGAAATTCTGTGGAATTTCTGGTAATTTGCTTTTCTCCGTTAATTTTGTGAATTTGATTCCTTTTATCTCATTTTCATTGTTTCATTTCATTCATGATTTAATGTACTTTCTTCGTTCGGAATTAACAATCATATTTATTTTTCCTGCTAGCTAAATTTGTCTGATGAAATTGAATTTTCGCTATTTTAATGATTTAATGTATTTTAATGAATTTGTCTGATGAAGTTCAATGTGATGATCTAACGATTTAATGTACTTTACATGTCTATAATGTGATTTGAACTAGTAATGCGATAACCATATTCAGACATGATTGATTTTATTCATATCTTGAAGTTTGTACATCACATTTACTGTTGATTTTCCAAATGCTGCAAGTGCTTATAATTGATGCTCCCTTGCATAACAGGATAACACAGGATTAATTTCTATATTGTACTAAAAGATATACAGTTGATATAATATCATACATATATACAATTTTGTTACTGTATATGCTGATATACAGTCATAAAATCTTGATTTGTTTTGAATGTTAATCTCGGATATGAAACGAGCATTTCTTTGTAAAATCCTTGGAATGTATGATGCAATTTCAGATTAATTTTACAGATTCCGAATCGAAAGTTCTTGTTGATTTTTTTTTAGTGTTATTTGATTAATTAGTGTTGTGCCAATATTGTTAAATTCAAGCTGGTAAGTTTATTTAAGACTTTTCATGTTATTTGTTGAGGAATGCTTCATATATGATTTATCAAAGAATTGTTGGTTTTTTTTTTTTCTTTTTGTAAAATATTTAGGTTGTTTGAGAGTTAATTAAGAATCATATTTATGTAGGAGTGGATTAACTGCTGCAAATGGGGACAGAGAAAGCCAATGGTGTGTCAAAGCATGGAATTGCTTCGAAAATTCCAGCTGAAGCACATCCATTATCTGAAGAACCAACTGAAATTGCATCAAACATTAACTACCATGCTCAGTTCAGCCCTCATTTCTCCCCTCTAAAGTTTGAGCCAGAGCAGGCTTTTTATGCCACTGCAGAGAGTGTTCGGGATCGTCTTATTCAGGTTCCAATCTTAACACCCATGCTTTCATGTCATGGGTAGAAAGATCATTTAGTGACATTTTGGAAATGATTAGGGTACACTCTGCAATGAATATGAATTGATGAATACTCTAAAAAATATGGATATGTTCAGCTGATCTTAGATGTGAAGCAAAATATTGAAGTATCTTTAGTCATTTGGATTAGCATTGCTTGCAGACATGTAATTATTTGACTGATGTAGCTTTGTTTTCTTGAATCGATATCTGCAGCAATGGAATGAAACCTATTCGCACTTTCATGAGGGTAATCCAAAGCAGACGTACTATTTGTCCATGGAATATCTGCAAGGACGAGCCTTAACGAATGCTGTTGGAAACTTGAACATCCAAGATGCTTATGCAGATGCTCTAAATAAACTTGGACATCAGCTTGAGGAAGTTGTTGAGCAGGTATAATATTAGATGGCCAGATATTAATATCATCAGTTTTGCAAGGAACCTTGACATCGTAATTCCTAAATGTGCCAAATTAGTTTTGCATTTCTTATTCTGCTGTCATCGCATGTTTTTAATATATTTAGTGACTAGAAACATGTGTCATCCAAGTTTTGATACTAACCATAATTTGAATATCTAATATCTTTTTTTTTTGCCCTCTCAATAGCTGTATGCTAATAACATCATTTCTCAGTTGCATAACTGATTTTTAACCATCTATGAGATTTGTGTAAGCTTCAATACAAATCCTAACGCTTTGCTGAGATGATACCAATTGTCTTTTAGGAAAAAGATGCAGCACTTGGAAATGGTGGCTTAGGGAGGCTTGCTTCCTGCTTTTTGGATTCCATGGCTACGTTGAATCTTCCTGCATGGGGATATGGTTTAAGATATAGGCATGGTCTTTTCAAGCAGCTAATTACTAAGGAGGGCCAAGCAGAGGTTCCTGAAGACTGGCTCGAGGTTCCTGCTAAATCTATAACATCATTAAACATTTTCTTTTTTCCTTGAAAGATATCATGAAACCCAATTCAAATGTCCTATATCTTACTTTTAAACTTCTGAAATTTTGCAGAAGTTCAGTCCTTGGGAAATCGTCAGGCATGATGTGGTATTTCCTGTCAGATTTTTTGGTCAAGTTCAGGTCAATCCCGATGGATCGTAAGTGTCTCTCCAAGATGTACTTCTCTTGTTAATTATAAGCATTTCACGAGTCTAGCTTGTGGAGTTTAAATAAGTACAAGTTATTAACTCGAGACTTAGTAAAAGTCCATGCATATCAACTGCCCTAATTTTATGCTATTCTACATCACCCATTGTGCAACTTAGTTGTTATGTACATCACCCTGACACCCTCTTCAAACCCCCTGACCCCATGTGTAAACCTCTTGTGCATTTCAGACGAAAATGGGTTGATGGTGAGATTATTCAGGCTCTGGCATATGATGTTCCTATCCCAGGTTACAAGACCAAAAACACCATTAGTCTTCGTCTTTGGGAAGCAAAAGCTTGTGCTACGGATTTTGATCTGTTTCAATTTAATGATGGACAGTATGAATCTTCTCTACAAATTCATTCCAGAGCTCAACAGGCGAGTCTAATGAAAGCCTACACAAGATTTTATAGTTGTACTACTCGTAAAGTCGTAATATACTGCATGATTTGAGGTTTAATGGGTTTTTTACATTTGCAGATCTGTGCTGTTCTCTATCCAGGAGATACTACTGAAGGCGGAAAGCTGTTGCGTCTGAAGCAACAATTCTTCCTGTGCAGTGCTTCACTTCAGGTTAAATCTCAAGTTTTTTTATCAATCGATGTGCATCTTTTGATTCTGGACCTGTTGGCTTTAAAACATGATGTTCCACTTTGCAGTTAGAGATTGTGGCTATTGTTAGTAACACTGGTGACTTGATGAGCATAACTGAGCAATAAAAGCTTGCGATACCACTGCTGTGTTTCTATTGACTGTCACAGCTGACATGAAACATGCTGTTAGGTTGCCACTGCATTCTCTGATGCAAACTTTAAATAATCCTGTGAGATGGGGAATAACTCTGAAAGATTTGACATAAGAAATAGGTTCATTAACCAAAGTTTTTCTGGTTATGTTTCACTTCAAAACATGCTACTCAATCTTCATAGCAATAGCTATTGTACAGTCTGTACCCTGTAGTATATTTTTTGATACTCTTATAATATCTGTGAAGTCAATAGCACAAGACTACTGCCTGTACATCAGGATAGAGCAACTTTGTTGTTGCTCAACTATATATATTCTTAGCACTCATGAACTCTCCATGTAGGCATCTGGGTAGTTTTGTGCTGGAATCCTGGTGACTAGAAGTTAATAAAAAGAGTAATGAGCTGGAGCAATGGTTAATGATTTACACTAGTAGATCCTAATATGGACCCTTTGGTCTGTATATTGCTTTGACGTCTTATCTACTATTACAGGATATCATTTTCAGATTTAAAGAGAGGAAGGAGGGAAAGACCCCCCTGCAGTGGTCTGAATTTCCAAGCAAAGTTGCTGTTCAGCTTAATGATACACATCCCACACTTGCAATTCCAGAGCTTATGCGTTTGCTGATGGATGATGAAGGGCTTGGTTGGGATGAAGCTTGGGATGTGACAACCAGGTGATTTTCAATTTAATATGATTCCTATTGTTCACATATCAAGTGCACTGTTCCATAATGACAGTGAAACCGACTAAAACAGGGCCATTGCTTACACAAACCACACAGTTCTTCCTGAAGCTCTGGAGAAGTGGTCACAATCTGTAATGTGGAAGCTTCTCCCTCGTCATATGGAGATCATAACAGAAATTGACAAGCGGGTAGGTCTGTCTGTTTTCTAGCACCATCACTAAGTGCAACATCACTAGTCCGCTTTTTTTTTTTTTTAATGGTGCTACATTGTTATCATTTATCAATACTTATTTAGAAGATGACTTAATAATGAAGGTTTGGTATGGAAAATCAAATTAATGGTGAATGCAAGTTATAAGTTGAGCATGTGTCCTTGACAGAAAGTGACATTAATTTGGAGTTGAATTACAAGATGCTACTTCTGGTTTCTTATATTCACCGAAACCATTGAAATGGTTTTTTGCAGTTTGTGGAGTTGATACATTCCACAAGGCCTGATCTTGAGGACAAGGTTAACTCTATGTGCATTTTGGACAACAATCCACAAAAACCAGTGGTGCGCATGGCAAATCTGTGTGTGGTGACTTCTCATACGGTGAGCTAGCTATATATGTATATATTCATTTGACTAAAATTATGAAAATCAAATGCAAATAAATTGATTTAGTCTTGGTTCTGTCTGATCCTACGCAGGTGAATGGTGTGGCACAGTTGCACAGTGACATCTTAACATCAGAATTATTTGCAGACTATGTCTCAATATGGCCTACCAAATTCCAAAATAAGACAAATGGTATTACTCCTCGACGGTGGCTTAGATTTTGCAATCCAGAGCTCAGTAATATCATCACAAAATGGTTGAAAACTGATGAATGGGTTACAAATCTTGATCTCCTTGTTAATCTGCGCAAAGTAAGTACTATTGAAAATTTGTTTTGCTTATACCACCTCTTGAATTATGATGATTGATGCTGAATCATATATGTGGTTTACAGTTTGCTGACAATGAGGACCTCCAAGCTGAGTGGGCTTCTGCCAAAATGGCAAACAAAAAGCGCTTGGCACAATATATTCTTGAAATTACAGGTGTAAGCATAGACCCAAATAGCCTTTTTGACATACAAGTCAAGCGAATTCATGAGTATAAAAGACAACTACTAAACATCTTGGGTGCAATTTACATGTACAAGAAGTTAAAGGTATGTACAAGAAATGCATGAATATGCACTAGTCGATACATTGTTTTTAGATTGTCGCAAATACTCCGATGCAACTATTCTTATTTAAGTTGTCCCTGATAGGAGATGAGTCCGGAAGAGCGTAGTAATGCTACACCTAGGACCATCATGATTGGTGGAAAGGCCTTTGCAACATATATAAATGCTAAAAGAATAGTGAAATTGGTAAATGATGTGGGCTCTGTTGTCAACACTGATCCAGAAGTCAACAATTATCTCAAGGTAATGAACAGCAAGATATATCACCTCTTTTTGAAATCACACTTGGAATGCTACTGAAATCCTTTCGTTTTATATAGTTCTTTTACTTGTTTTGTTTAAACATATTCTCGTATTTCTATTATTTGTTGGATATAAACAACCTGCAATACTTCTAGGGAATGTCCAAATAACTAAAATCCATGTTCGTTTAAGCGACTTACTAATTTTGGAATTCCAAACTTGTCTTTATGGAAATTTTATGTAGCTGTAGCTATATGAGAACAGAAGAATTCAACACCTTGTTGCACGCTCCACTTTTTTAGTGAACTGCACAACTCATTTGATGTTAATGCGGAACTAATTAGTCATGCTTGTTACAAAATAGTAAATGTTATTTGTCATTTTTTTAAATATGGTGTGGCCTTGAAAGAACATTTCATACATTCTACATTGGAGTGAAATTTTGTAGAATAAAAGAGAGGATAGATTAAATAATGTGATGATTTAAAAATAAAATAAAGAAAAATAAGTAGGGAAAAGGAGATAATCTCCTAACTCATAACATGTCAGCCACTTTGTTCTTTTTGGGATTACCAAAACTAATGTACAATTATTAGGGGCTACCAATGAGAATTTTCCTTGATTATATATTTTGTGTGAGCTCCTTATAGCAATTATCTTCTCAAGGTTTTTACTTTATCTATTTTTGTATAATTCAGATCGTTTTTGTTCCGAACTACAACGTATCTGTGGCAGAAATGCTCATTCCTGGAAGTGAGCTATCACAGCATATCAGCACTGCTGGCATGGAAGCCAGTGGAACAAGTAACATGAAGTTTGCCCTCAATGGATGCCTCATCATAGGAACACTGGATGGTGCCAACGTTGAAATCAGAGAAGAAATAGGAGAAGATAATTTCTTTCTCTTTGGAGCAACGGCAGATGAAGTGCCAAAGCTCCGTAAGGATAGGGAGAATGGATTGGTATCTACTCTTACTTATTGATAATTTCCCTGAAACTGTCTGTACTCTGTAGCGGTGTGCAATCTTTCTGGATTGCAAGCATGGATAGCTGATGACTGGCCTCTTTACCAGACCAATTAGGTTTAGCATTTAGCTTTTGTTGTACCCAGATGCATGACCATACTATACACTCAATCAAATATGGGGGGGTGGGGGGGGGGTGGAGGGAGATCATAGATAGATCTATAGAATTTGGAACATGTTGCATATCTATCCAAACATAACTTCCCAAGAAATTAGCTCTTTTTGAATTTATGTAGAGATGATGCATATAGCTTAGTATCATGTTTCATGCCTTGCTTTTGACCTGAAACTATGGTATTTGATGGTGCAGTTCAAACCAGATCCTCGCTTTGAAGAGGCTAAAGAGTTTATAAAATCAGGAGCTTTTGGAAGCTATGACTATAATCCTCTCCTCGATTCTCTTGAAGGCAATACTGGCTATGGCCGTGGAGACTATTTCCTTGTTGGTCATGATTTTCCTAGTTACATGGATGCTCAGGCTAAAGTTGATGAAGCATACAAGTAAAGTTCCTTGGTTTTTTTGTTAGTTTTTCATTGCACATATTTATTTGATATATTGATCTTTTGTCGTAATTTGTGAAGACTGAAGAAAATATAAACTTCCTGGTTGTAACTTGTAAAAGAGTTGCGCCAACACCACACTGATTGCTTAAAGTCCCAAATGTGATGTCATTTCTTCCTGTAATTTCTCCTTGCTTCCTAGGTCTTCATATATACTATTACTATGAGCCTTGAGACTTCTCAGCCTTGTTAATAAATACGTCAATTTTTTCAGATTTTTCACCGCCTGGCAAAGCGTTACCCTTGTAGACTTCAAAGAGCCACCCTACTATACTAACTTAGTATCATGTTCCATTCACTTCTTCCCATAATTGATCTGCTACTTAGCTTTGCCGATTTCTTTGTGTCATCTGCAGGGACCAAAAGAAATGGCTGAAGATGTCTATACTGAGCACTGCTGGGAGTGGCAAATTTAGCAGTGACCGGACAATTGCACAATATGCCAAGGAGATATGGAACATAGAAGAATGCCCTGTAAATTAAAGAGGGTACTTGTTTCTTATTTTGTGAATTCAATTTTATGTTTTCTTATCTACTTCTGCGATGTTCACTTAATTTATTTCTATTCTCTGCAGGGATGAATGATCTGAAGACGTCTAGTCGTCTATTCATTTGTGTAATGCTACAAGTGTAATTTAGTGGCAACCTTGGAACTGTTTAATGTACTGAAACAGTAGCACCAGAAGTGCCATGAACAAGTAGTTACTTCATCAAAATAAAGCTAGGCCTAAATCATGTTCATCTATTTTGTGTACCGTCTTTTCATGCGGTTGTTCTACTATATAAGATTATTGATTCAAGATGCCCTACCTTTCAATATTTAAATTTAATCAAACACAGAAATAGTCTTCCAATTGTATAAGCTATATTTGTTCAACAAAAGAAGCTCACAATGTATATTTACATAATTTTTAGTATGAATGTCACCGTAGTTACTCTTAAGTAGTTTTTGACACATAGTTGTCGTCAATGGTTTGAAGTCAGTTTCATCAAAGTTTGGTTCGAGCTTTAAAATTATAGTGCTAGTATCAGACGAGCCAAATTCAAACACTATGGCATTCGGCTTGAAGCTAGTGAGCACGTTATTTATGAAAAATAATATGCATTTTTAATGAGGCTTTTATATCCTTTACCCTAAAGTCTAAATTATCAATTGAATGACAGATAAAGGATTCTTTTAATAAGATTTACCCCAACCAACAAAGCTGATGTTATATATGAACTTTACTAATCAAAATTTCAAGAATCAGATTGAAACTCTAATGCATGATGCATTCTATGCAAATCTGTTACTTTTTTTGGAGGGGATCAAAGTTAGCCCGGCCCGATTTTGGCCAGAACTTTTTGACCCGGGCCCGGCTCGGCCCGATTTTTTTTTTGGCGGGTTTGAGAATGTGTTTTTTATGCATATTTAGTTGATTTTTTTAGACCCGCCCCGAAATTCGCGCACAACCCGACCATTTTGGGCGGGTTTAGGCATAAAAATCCAGCCCAAAGCTTGACCCAACCCAGCCCAATCCAAGAAGGGGGCATAATTTTTTAGCTTCAGCCCAACCCAAACCCGCCTAATGATCACCTTTAGTCCTCTACTTTTTAAAACCCAGGCCCATAATGGAGATTGTTTATTTGTAGCACAGCGCGTATAATAGCCCTGGTATAATAGTGACTTGTAAAAACAATAGAATTCAGTGGGTATAAGAACAATTCCAAACATTTTACTTCTAATTCTACTATTTTCAATAATCTTTACTATAGCAGTAGCTCCACAAATAAGAAACCCAGATTTAAATTTCAGTCTGCTACAACTTAAAACCCAGCAGAAGGTTAACTGCAAGCTGCTTCAAAATACAACTTCACTGGTTTAGAAAACCCAACAAATTCACATACTCATATAATACAACGGAAAGAGAGAGTATCAAAAGCCTAAATAGGTATTCAACTTCAGCCTTGGACATGTATCTAAATTAAGACAACATCAGATTAGCGTTTATTCTACATAATGAAACTAGTCTGTTCAGGTAGACAGTGAAGGAGACCTTGGACTAGCAGATTTTGAAAGAGACTTAGATCTGGAGGGAGCACTGTGACCCGAGTAGCTTCTGGATGAGTGACGATCAGGGGACCGATCGCACTTCTTAGGGGAATAGGAGACGCTCCTACTGGGGCTTCTTGATAAACTGCGAGAACAGCTTCTCCTGGTACTCTTCCTTGGCCTTGGTGAATAGCTACGGGAGTAGCTCTGCCTTGAGCCTCTCCTAGGCTTTGGAGAGTAACTCCTCCGTGAACTTCTCCTTGGTCTAGGTGAGTAACTCCGAGAGTAGCTCCTCCTTGAACTTCTCCTTGGTATAGGAGAGTAACTGCGTGAGTAGCTCCTTCCCCTGGGTGAGTAGCTACGGGAGTAACTCCGGCGCCTTCTTCTGTAGTACCTTTCATCAGGAGAATAATCATAGCGTCGCCTACCAACTGATGATCTCCTGTAGTATGGAGAGAGAGACCTCGAGCATGATCGGCGGCTCCGACGGCTATAATAGGGAGAATATGATCTATCTCGCCTGGGGTACGGTGAATAGGATCTCTCACGATCAGACGAACGAGACGAGTGCCTGCTGTAAGGTGAATACGTAGAACGGCCACGACCTGAATAGAGGATAAAGGAAACAGTTGGCAAACCAGTTGGTACAGAATAAGGTAACAAATACTCAAGACAAAGGGAAGGACTCTTACTGCGAGATGTCCTCAACCCCAAGTATCTTCCTGGTGTTGGTGTGCGACCTCTCCTTCTTCGGGCCTGAAATAGGCATTTGTGGACTGAGTGTTAGTTAACAGTTGGATAGAACCGGGACTCTATGTATGTACACTACGCAGCAGATATTGGTTTTGGGAAAAAAAGACTTCTTAGCCAAGGAACTAAAAAAATAAGCAATAATAGCACACAGCAAAATTCAAGAGCAAAGAGAGAAATGCAGGGCATACAACCCTCTGATATAAAGTCTGAAATTTGATTTGCTTGGATTGATTTGATAGTTGTGTAGTTTGGAGAAGAGCTGCTACACACAGCTAACCTGTTGCTGCCACAAAAACTTCAGGTGACAAGAAGCAAACAGATTTCAATCTTAACGTGCTAACAAGAAACAAATACCAATCTTGATACATCATAAGCTCTAAACATAAACATTGCAATCATAAAAGCTCTAAATAATACTAGCGCTTGAAAGAATACCAATCCTTGGGAAATGCTGAGCTCTGCTGATACGAGGGTAATCTGCTGAGGGGGAGGGAACTTAAGCGTAAATAGAAAAAACAAATCTGTACCTTCTCAACCGTGATGACACGCCCTTCAAGTACAGAGCGGTTCAGATACTTAATGCAACGATCTGCCTCCTCAAGAGAGGACATAGTCACAAAACCAAAACCACGTGACTCTTTGGTCCATGGGTCTGTCACAAGGTGGACATCCTCAACCTGCAAATGTCATTCATTAGGGAACAGGGCAAGTAGAAACAGTAACAGTAACAAATAGCCTAAGGTCCCATAGACCCATACAGAATCTGCTAGCATTCCAGTTCATAAAGAGAAACACAATTGATTTTCAATTCTATTTATTCAACCGTATAAAGCCCCATTTCTAAACAGCTCACAAAATCTGCAAATGTAAAATCACCTTTCCCTCACTCGAGAAATGCTTCTCAAGTTCTCTTCTGGTGACACGAGTTGACAATCCAGTCACATACAGATTATTGCCAGGATTCTCCACACTGCTTTCACGGCTCCTGGTACAAAAATGCATAAACATCATCACTATTGTTGCTGTTACTCTCTGTTTATACTTCAAGTGAAAAAGAAAGATGCAAAGCCCAAACTACATTTCAAAGACAGGTGAATACCTTGATCGACTTCTCGACAATGATCTTGATCTTGACAAGGACCTTGAAACAGAGCGACCGTACCGCTTGTACGGCGATGGTGAATGAACATCCCGTCGGGAGTACGACATCTGTTACAGGTAAGCAAATTAAGATTCTAGAAAGTAAAATAAAAGGTTCAACTACAGCAACTCCACAAGCAGATTATTCCCAGCAAGTCAATAAATCCACCGGTAATACAACCAAGCATCCATATAGAATATCAGCAGAGAGCTCACAAAGTTACATATTACTTATATAGTTCCAAAAGGTTTAAATATCATCTGCATAACCGAGAATTTCAGAGAGAGAAAAGATACCATGCCCAACAACCTTAAGGCAATTAAATGTTTTTAACATGTCATTTTGATGGATCATAAATAATTTAATCAAGTTTCAACAACAAATAACACTTAAAGATAGACATCATAGGGATAAAATTTTGTTGGATCAGATAAAAAATTATGCTGAAACTCATTTTGTACAGTACAATCTACCACTAAACAATACCATATTCTCAGGGAAATTATAAATCTTCTACGTTATAAAAGACATACGGAGTATGACATTTCAAATGCACATAATCTACGTTCTACCAACATCAAATGGCAACGCTGGGTAAAAAACATATATCAACATAATACTCTGCTTGCCAATTCATGCTAGAGACAGAAATATATCTTATAGGTATATTTTTCTAGCTGTTAACAATTAACATTACGCATTTATCAAATTGCTTATCCACTCCCGAAAATTAATCTATCATTCCTTGACCAAAGCCGAGGATAGCAGAACTCTCAGGCAGGTTATCTAGTAGTCTATAATAGGAAAGCCAGAATCTGATTCCCTTATCAAAATTCACAGTTTTCCTACAAATTAACGAACCAAAGGGACAGCATATTTTTCTTCCGGGTTGATTAAGAATCGATTTCAACATCTAAAGTACTTCGCAAATCTCACTCCTTTATAGCTCAGGTAACTACTTTAAACCAATTCTACGTTTCTCGAACTTCCCCAAAAAATTAACGCCAAAGATGAAATGACAATTTCTATCTTATGAACGCAAAACCCTAGTATAGAAAACAATTGATTTCGAATTAAATTGGGCGAATGGTATACATAAAACCTAACGATCAATCATCAACATCAAACAAAAAAAAAATCACAAAATACAAACCCAAAAAGAGTCGCAAATTTGTAAAAACAACATTGATTTTAAATTGAAACAATCAGTCAAAATCAAATCTAATAACAAGTCATTAACATTAAAATATCACAAAATACAAACCCTAAACAAGTCGCAAATTCTTAATAATAAAATTCACCAGGAAAATCCAGAACACAACAATTGTACATTGAAACAATCAAATCAAAATCAAAAATTAAATAGTACTAACCGTGAAAAACTGATTGATCGAAATTCGTGAGGTTGTGTGATTTGATGAGAATGAAGAAGATTATCTCTCTCTAAAACGGGGAAGTTTGTGGAAAACTTGAAATTGTGGTGGGGGATAGCCTTATAAGGCGCAGGAAGGTTCTGGAGAATGCTGATTCGGACGTTATTTTTATTTTTTTTATTCCGCTTCATTAATTTTTATCAAATGGAATACTCGCCACGTTGACGGTGGATATATTTTCAACTTACCACTACAATATTGGATTCCCTTCGACCAGGTGTCCGAATTTTGGTACCATGAATTGTGGTTCGGTCTTTAGTCCTTGAAATACTTTGATCATGGATTTTTAATTTGTACCTACAAACAGGGGTGAGCTAAAATTCTGGATATCCGGAATTAAAATCGGAATCGGTGGGTCCGGAATCGGAATTAGATTCGGTAGTTGCCGTAGTTCAATTTCGAGTAATATTTTAATTCCAATTCTCGATTTTTTGGACTCGGAACCGATTGAGTACCCAGTTTCCCAACATATATTACACTAAATAAATTTTTAAAAATAAAATTATGTTAAATGTATCAGTTAATAATAAAAAAAAACTATTAATACCTAACATAAATAAAATAGCTTAATATATATATAAATACAAGTGTTAAATGCTAAAAATGAAAATAGACTAAAATAAGTATTATAATTTAAACTATTTTAACAATTAAATACATAAGTGGGTACCCGAAACCGAACCGGAACCCGGTGGTTCCAATTCTTAGTTCTAAATTTTAGGACCTGATTGAACCAATTCCAATTCCGGATTTTAGGACCCGGTCCCAACCAATTCCGGGTCCGGGTCCTAAAATTTTGATCGTGTACCTGATTTGCTCACTCCTACCTAGGAACCCTTTCTGTTATTTCGATGCCAAGCTACTAGGTTACTACAAGAGGGGGGTGAATTGTAGTTGTACGGAATTAGTGAACTTTTTGCGGAATTTAAATATAAGTGAAGTAGGGACACACTATGTAGGCTTATAGAATTATTTCAATATGTAAAACTCAATTACAAAGAAGATAAATCTGCCCAGACCCAAGTTCCTCTAGGAACTCAAGTATCCCAAACTACGATCCCTCAATCGCAGTTTCTCTAACTCACTGTGATTCGACTCTGAATCACTTACAATGTGATCTATTCACTCTAATCTCACTATTACAACTCTCACAAACCCAATCCCAATTACAAGGATACTCTAGTACACTTAGAAAGATAAGCAAGATAGGAACTCAGTTTTTCAAAGTAAGTATGCTAAACTCTTATGCTCTTAAAAAGCTTACAACGACCTCTGAATTAATCCGGCTCTTAAAAACTGATTGGTTTTTCACAATTAATTCAGAGGTCGTTGTAAGCTTTTTAAGAGCATAAGAGTTTAGCATACTTACTTTGAAAAACTGAGTTCCTATCTAGCTTATCTTTCTAAGTGTACTAGAGTATCCTTGTAGTTACTTTGTAATTTGGGATTGGGTTTGTGAGAGTTGTAATAGTGAGATTAGAGTGAATAGATCTCATTGTAAGTGATTCAGAGTCGAATCACAATGAGTTAGAGAAACTGCGATTGAGGGATCGTAGTTTGGGATACTTGAGTTCCTAGAGGAACTTGGGTATGGGCAGATTTATCTTCTTTGTAATTGAGTTTTACATATTGAAATAATTCTATAAGCCTACATAGTGTGTCCCTACTTCACTTATATTTAAATTCCGCAAAAAGTTCACTAATTCCGTACAACTACAATTCACCCCCCTCTTATAGTAACCTAGTAGCTTGGCATCGAAATAACACTTTCTTTCAAAAAGTTCGACGCAATTTTATACTCCTTCATCCCATAATTAAGTGTCCGTCTTTAATATTTCACAAAAATTAAGAAAAGTGGAGAAAAGTATAAAATCACGTGGGTAAGTATAGCGAGAATAGTTACAAAGAGTCAAATTGTATTATACGGAATATTTTACTCCATATTTTTTAGTGAATACAATAATATAAAAACATACACTAGTAATAAAGAAACTAGCTCATCATATAAATTAAAATAAGTAATAAATATAATGACTAGTAATATACTATAGTATTTAACACTGACCAAATATATTGATTAGATTGTCTAACAAGAGACACTAGACTAGAAACAGTCGAGTAACATTATTATTCATACGATAATATACGCTTTAAGTTTCTCTAAACCATACAATAATATAGGATAAAAACCCAACTTCTCTAATATACGGCTTACATTAATACAGTCACCAAGCCATACAATGTAGCATAAAAAAAGCAACTTCTCTAAATGCCCAACCTCTTCTTTAACTCCAAAATAAACTCATAAACCTTGATTTGGTCAGGAAGAGCTTTAGCCACACTTTCCCTTTGCATGCACCTCTTAGCCCATTCAATGATCTTTGGGCAAGATTCTTGAATCTTGAAGTTGGCCAATGTTTCATAGGCGTGAAACCAACTATAGAATGGGATGAAAACAACATCAACAAACCCAAATTCATCTCCTCCAAAGTAAGGTTTGCTCCCTAACTCTTGCTCCAACACCTTCAAATGCTCAATGAATTCCTTCTTCGCCGCCTCTTGATCTTCGCCTTTAGTGCTCCAAACTCTCCTCCCAGTATCGTATATCTGTACGAGTCTCACAAATGTTAGTCGTTTGATCAAAGGAATGACAATGTTGGACATACATCTTGATCCAACTTAACTTGTTTTTTCCATTCCAATTAATAAAGACTAACAAGGACTAATCAAATTAAATACTCACTTATAAATTACCATAACTACTTTTAATCGAAATCCTTCAATTATTGATTTTAAACACATTAATAGTCTCCGATCAGACCGCTTGACAAGAGACGGGCTAATAAAAATAAATCATGAAATTTAAAAGGAAAGAAAAAGTTAAAATTCTTAAGAGTTACCTTCTTCTCAACAAAATCAGCCCAAAAACGAGCTTGAGCCCTATGATAAGGATCAGAAGGCAACAAAGTAGCTTTATCAGACCAAACTTCATCAATGTATTCAACAATTATAAGAGACTCACAAACCGGTTTATTATTATGAACAAGAACCGGTATCTTTTTATGAACCGGGTTCATCTTAAGTAGTAATTCACTCTTATTCTTCAAATCTTGTTCACTATATTCATATTCCACTCCTTTTTCAGCTAATGCTATCCTCACTCTCATCCCAAATGGACTTGCCCAAAAATCCAACAATTGTACTACATTATTTGTTGCCATTTTTTTTTTTTTTTTTTTGTGGAGTAAAAGAAAGGGAGTTGTGTTTTTAATAAAGTGGGTTTGAAGGGTATTTATAAAGGGTTTTGGAGAGTGAAGGAAAATTGTGGAGATTCCTGGGTTGATAGTTCTAGTAGAGACGTGGAGTCTAGGATTTTCTTTTGGATGTGTCATGGCTTACGTTAGCAGAATGTTCTTGATGTAAGGGTACTAAAGTGATTTATTTGGACTACTTTCACCTTTTTTTTAAAAAAAAATTATTTAGTGTAGAGAGATACTCCCTTCGCTTTTTTTTAAATGGTTCGTATCCTTGGACACATAATTTTAGATAAAAGAATAAAATAGTACTAACTCCTTTTCTTATTTACATGTCTATTTTTCTTTTTGGAATTTCAAAATTACTTGCTTATTTCTATTTAAACAATGTATTTTTTGACTATATTCCCTCTTTTTTATGAGTTGTCATTATTTTATATTTTTTTTATACTTTTGACATTATTTTCTAACACTTTCTATCTTCATCTCTTCAATAATTACCAACTACCTTTTCTTTCTCTATATCTCTCTCTAACCCTACATGCATATTTGTACTTCCCAATCATGGCTTTTAAGTTCCTTAATTTTCGTGTAAAATGGAGAATAGGCATGTAAATAAGGGACAGAGGGAGTATATAAGTGGGTATGGTTGAAAAAAAAATTTACAAAATTAAGAATGAGAAATATGAATGGGGACCAATAATGTGAGAGAGAAAAAATATTATAAGTTGATAGTGGGGTTAAAAGGAAAAAAGAGAAATAATATATAATGTGAGTTGAGTTTCCACTTTTGGTAATAGGACACTTTAAAAAAAACGGCCGTTTATGAAAAGTAGGACACTTTTAAAAAATCGGAGGGATTGATTTCTAAGTCTGAATAACATATCTCAATTTTAACCAACTATTCAATGGCGGATGCAAGCGGGGTCCCTTGACCCCACTTGAGCATAAAAAGAGATTTTTTCCTCATAATTTTTTTTTTCAATAAAATTACTTGTTTTTTTTATATCAAATGACCCCATTAGAAATAACCAAATGTAATTTGATCCCGTTAAATATTTTTTCTGGATCCGCCACTGTAACTATTTACTCTCTTCATATTTTATTACTTGCTCCATTTGCATTTTTTAAACTATTCATTTAACTTATTTTGACTAATAATGTTTGAGATACCTAATAAAAATTATAGTCTTGTGAGTATTTGTTGGAATCGTTACTCCTAGTGTCTGTTTTAATATTAAGTTATTGATTGATGAATATTAAGTTATTGATTGATGATTGATTAATGATTATTGATTGATTGATAATAGATATATTGTTAAATTTTCAAGGAGATGGGCTATGATTTAGCAATTTGGGCCTAATTACATATAGTGGGCTGGGTCTTATTGTACTATTCACACTATTCAGTATTTCAGTTTAATCTAAATTCTAACCTATTAAAAACAAAAGGAAAAAAGAAATCATCTTTCCTAAGCCCCCTCTTCTCTTCTCTTCTCTCCTCCATTGAAACGTACTCTGACTACTCCATTGAAGCGAGCTTCTAAGGTAAGATGGTTTTACTTTTAATCATTTATCGATCTAGGGTTTTACTGTTAATTTAATTCAGCTTTACTGTTATTTCTTCTCGATTTGTTGCAGTATTTTTTGAGCAGAATTTTTGAGTAGAACAAAGATGAAGTTGGATGTTAATGCTCTAAAATACCTCTCTAAAGATGATTTCCGGGTTCTCACTGCCGTTGAGATGGGCATGCGTAATGTAATGAATCACCTTTCTTTCTTTTAATTGTCAAAATCACTTCCAAATTTAATTATTATTTTTTTAAATATGGGTTTTTGTTGCAGCACGAAATTGTCCCTTCCGAGCTCATTGCTCGTATTGCTTCACTCAAGTAATGATTGTTTCAATTCTCAATTTTGATGGGTGATTTGTAATTTGTGAATTTAATTCATTGGTAGTTCTCAATTTTAATGGTTGATTTTATTTGTTTTTGTTTGGGAATTTTTATAGACATGGTGGTACTTATAAAGTGTTGAAGAATTTGCTTAAGCATAAGCTGCTGCATCATGATGCTTCTAAATGTTAGTCACCAACTCTTTTATTTGCTCATTAAAATATTTTCATGTAGTGTAATCTTTTGTATTCTTCAATATAATTTGTGGGTATATTGTTTAGATGATGGTTTTAGGTTAACATATCTTGGGTATGATTTCCTTGCCATCAAAACTTTGGTCAATCGCGGTGTCTTCAGTGCAGTTGGCCGTCAGATAGGAGTTGGAAAGGAATCTGGTAATGCCTGTTGATATACTATGTATAGTGCCCTATGTTTTGTTTTGTTAATATGTGATAAAAATTGAGCAAATTTGTGTTTTTTTGTGGGTTCAAGATATTTTTGAAGTTTCCAATGAAGATGGTACAATTATGGCCATGAAGCTACACAGATTGGGTAGAGTTTCTTTTAGGGCCGTGAAGTCTAAGCGTGACTATTTGCAAAACAGGAGTTGTTCTAACTGGCTGTACTTGTCTCGACTTGCGGCACTGAAGGAGTTTTCTTTTATGAAGGTTCCACATTTCTACTTGTTTGCCTCTCATTGACTATGTTTTGATGGTTCATTGTTTCGAGCTTAATGTTATCTTACTTTGATAGGCATTGGAAGATCATGACTTTCCTGTACCAAAGGCTTTGGATTGCAACCGACATTGTGTGATTATGTCCCTTGTACAAGGCTATCCACTGTAAGGATTCCTCCTTTGCTCTACATGTCTCGTAACAAAAATGCTAGATAAGCCTGTAACAATTATTTGGTAGCTATAATGAATATCTTTTATTCTAATATGTTCCACTCCACTGTCCTTTTTAGTTATGAATTCACCTGGAACCTACCATTTCTGTTTGTTTCCCATCATAACACTATGATTTATTTGCCGTTGTCAAAGTAGAATGAGGATCATCATTTTGGAATAAAGGTAGTATTCGAGGTGAAATCTAAACAACAGTAATGAGGAATTGAGGTCTACTAGAATTATAGGTGATCCTTTCAATATGGCTTTCATATGGCAACCTTTTTCATTTCAAATTGTATGCTTGGTTCATGCTAAAAATTGTGAATATTGATTATTTGCATTCTAGAACTGGAAGTTTGGAATTTTAATAGTTCTCAATATCTGTGCTAAACTGCTAATTTTGTTTAAGTGACCAGTTCTTGTTGTTATGCTTTGTTATCTTTCTTTGCTCACTTTCCCACTCGCCCTTCAGTTCTTTTTCCCTTTCTTGTTTGATCTTATCTTCAAAGTTTTGATATTTATGTTTGTGGCCAAGGATGTATACTAACCATATTCTCTTCTTAATCTAGTGTGCAGGTGAAGGAAATGCAAAATCCAGATATAATTTTTGATACTGTGATAAGTTTAATTGTTCGGCTGGCTGAGCATGGACTTATTCATTGTGACTTTAATGAATTCAATATCATGGTACTCAACTTTGTTTCTTCCCTCCCCATCCCTCCCGTCAAAAAAAAAAAATCAAAAAAAATAAAAAATAAATAAAAAAAATCAAAAAATCACTGTTGAGAGATTTTTAAGTCTTGCCATCTTTGCTGTTGAGTATTTGGGAGTTGGAATTGTTGGGTTTCCTACCGGGCCTACCCATTCAAGCTTTCTGTTTTCTCTGTTTGCAGTTCAGTTTTCTAGTTTTACAACATATTATATGAAATTATGAAGATTGCATGCTTATAACGCAATTGTTTACACCTTATCATTTGTTGCAAGACTTGCAACTGCCAATTCCACTGACAGTAAATAAATTGTCCTTTTTACTTGTAGATTGATGATGATGAGAAGGTTACTATGATTGATTTCCCACAGATGGTATCTATATCTCATCGGAATGCACAAATGTGCGTATTTCTTTCCAGAATCTTAAAGTCTTCACTATTAGAATACATGTGTGCAAAGTGAAGATATAGAGCTTATGTCTCTTATGCTTATACTCTTGACAACCACAGAAATTAATAATTATCACTTTGCCTTGCAGGTATTTTGACCGTGATGTTGAATGCATTTTCAAATTTTTCAGGAAAAGGTAGTGAGGATCTTTCAATTGCCTAGGAATAAATTTTTGGCCTTCATATGTTAATATGGCTTTTCAAGGTTGCATGGTTGAAATGATATCTTTTTATGCCAGACCTCCTCTTTACTTTTTTGTTACTTGTTTTAAATTTGTTCTCCATGCCCCTAGAGTACAAAGGAAATTATTCCTTGGACTAAATTAGTGTGCTATGCCATTTTAAGTTGTAGGCATAGTGCATGTATCAAGGCTGCTGGTCATGGGCATGTGGATTATATGCATGGAGGATAAATGCAAATAGATGTTCTTTGTGTAGCATTAGGTATAAGTCTTAGTCTGGAGTCTGTACAATATATACAATACATTAGCTGAATGTGCGATTTTTTTTTTTTTTTTGTGTTCATAATAGTTGGTTGTACACCTTGTGGTATGTGGTAGTTGGAACTTTCCATTGTGCGTTGTATTTATGTAAAGTGCTGCAAGTGTTGAAGGTACTCTGTTCGGGATCCTGTGAAGGGATTTGAACTTCTGAAGTTTTCTTTTGGTAGTTGGAGCTTGGAGGCCTTTAAGCAAGACTAGAGTTTTGATTTTTGAGTTCTTATCAAGATGTTCTGTATTTCTTGTTCTGAGTTGGTATCAATTTTTTTTTGGAATGTGCTGCATGTTTCTTGGCTGTATAAACTCTATTTTGCCATCAACTCCAGTTTTTAAAATTTTTATCAGATTATTTGTTTCCGTGATGGCTTGATGTCTTTAGCAGTTCCTTTTGACTTAGTCTCGATTATTTATGAAACTGGGACCTTAAAAATAATGCCAGAATTTACTTGTTATGCTGAACTTTCTCTGATCCAGCACAATTCTCTATACAGATTTAAGGTGACTTTTGAACTGCAGTCGGATGAGGCTGATGGTAAAGATGTAAATATGGATGAGAATGAAAGCAGGCCAAGCTTCTCCTCTATATTACCTATTTCTGGATCTTTAGACAAGGAACTTGCTGCTAGCGGATTTTCAAAAAAGGATCAGGAAAACCTTGAAAAGGTATTCCATCTTCTGTGTTTGTGTTCTTTTGATGAATTTTGTGCAAGTGGATTTGGTCTGATTACAAAATTGTAAGAAAGAAGAAATTTGTTAGTTTTGTTTTCCATGTTACAAGATGAGGCTCTATATTTGTGGCAGTTTTCTTTAACTTATGTTAAGAAGTTGCCCCATAAAAATCGCCTTGCTGCTAAAACATCCAATTTGTTGCTAAAACATCCTATTTGTATCCATACATATCAATCAAGTAGAGGAAGAGGAAGGTTAGGTAATTGGAGATCATAGGTTTTTCAAGATGGTTTTTTTAAGAACTCATAACCCTACTCTTAAATCTCTTCAATATCCAAAACAATCCAGAACCAATCAAATATCTCCCAAAAGTTACTGAATCCTAGAACTTAGTCCTAAAAGAAGCAGTCCCTGAAGAAATGAGAAGTTTGTCCCAATAAAAGCCTCCTCTTTATGATATTCTACCGGTGTTTGTTCCAAAAACAGGGATTATGGTGATGATTGGTAATGTTTGCAGCATGTGAGAGGATGTACAACTGGCCGTCAGTGAGGTTGGGTTGGGGGATTAGAGAGAGGGGGGGGGGGGGGGACCGGGGGAATGGAAAAAAGTTTATGAGCTTGGGTTGGGGAGAGAAAAATTTATGAATTTGCTCTACAGTTCTCTATTTTTCTAATAAATCTCTAGATTATGTTGCAAACTTTGTAGTGCTAGGTCTCATTTTGGTGGAATACTAAACTAGAGTTGCTGTCTTGTTTGACTTTGTTTAGGGCATCTCTTTCTTTTAAGTATTTTTTTTCAATGGACAGCTATAATTTTTGGTTCATGTAGCCGGCTTCACTTGTGGGACTAAGGCTTTGATTGATTAATATGGAAAGCTATCATTTGCTGTACTGTTGTGTCACCTGTTTTTTTTGAAAACTTACTGTTGTGTCACCTGTATCTATTGCTTTTTGAAATTCTTTTTTCTTTTTTTTTCCACTCACAGTTTATTGAAGGGACTTCTAAGGACTCAGATTCTAGTTATGAGGCAAACACAGATGATGATTCAGGTGTTGATGAAGATGATGAGCCAAATGACGCAGACATCAAGAAATTTGAATCATTGAGCTTAAAAAAGCAGGTACGGTTTGTGTCTACTCTACTAATCATCAGTCACCAGCTTAAGGGTCTGGTGCTACTACTGCTGCATGTCATTTATCCATTGGTCTCTACTTTGATAGGGATTTTTCTTGTGCTATATGGCAACTTAATGATTTGTGTTTTGTCAGAAGTAAATCTGATAGAAAACTGTCCATGAAAGGGTTAATTATGTACATCTTTGATTGAGCAGAAGTGTATGCATGTATGAGTTGTGCCTATGGCCCAATAAGGCTGTGATGAAGTGCTCCTGAAGCATTTAGCTAATCATGGCTTTATATCTTGCATCGGCCACAGAACCACTTTTGCAGGTCATGCAGATGGTTTGTGGCTGTTGCGGTTTAATATCTAGGTCATGGTAAGCTCTAAACCATCTATTCCGTGCTGATATTATCATACTACTAAAAGTACTAATTATCTAATCATAAACAATGTTTGTTTAATTGTGACTTTTGGCGGTTATAACCCACAAATCAGCTCATCTTGTCACCTTTTCTTGAATCTCTCTCTTTTTTTTTTTTTTTTTTTTTTTTTTTTGGGTTTAATTGTGGAAGATTGTATATGGTATTGGAATAGGAATTTATGACAGTTGCCTTAAAAAGATGAAATAGATATGTTTTTTGTTTCGCTGTACTTCATATGTCATTGAGTCTGGGAAACTTTATTGCACCTGAAATGTCTCTCATGATTCACCAGCTTTTTAATCTGCTATACACTTTTGAAACTTTCTGCCATCTGTATTTTTCTTAATCTGTCTTTATTTATTTACCCTCTCTTCTTTGGATGAATGGCATCTTCAATCTGCTGACTATGATTTTGCTTTTATGTCTTTGACTCTTTTTTGTGATAGGACTCAAGAGAGGAGGAATGTGATACAGTTGACACTGAACAAATTTCTTCTATAGCTTCTAGGAGTTCTGAGGTGCAGAGTGCAAGTGATGAGGTTTGTAATTATGTCATCTTTGTGTTTTCACTATGAGGTGAAGCTATAATAAGAAGAATGGCAATCACTTCACAAATGCAGTTAACCTCATTATGCACAACGAGCTGCAATTTAATTGTGAAGTTCACCTCACTCAATTGACTGAATAATTGAAGTTTGTTTTAAACTTGTGTTGCCACTTTTTTAAGTGATGTTTATGCTTATGGGTCTATGCTATAAGTTTCTATTGTAGAACTCATTCAAGAAGGCTTGGCTATCTTGAGAATGGTTTAAGTTATGTATAAACTGCTAAGCGAATGCTCTCTGGCTGCCTTCTGGAAATTAATTTTTTTTAATTCTTCTCTCTCTATTTATCTACACTAGATGAATTAGAATATATCCCACGTGCCCAGTGCCACCTCCTTAATCCCTCTAAGAGAGTGGTAAAAGTGTTTACTGGTGATACCATTTCTGTAAGATGAAAAAGAACCACTAAATACTGGCATATATGACTAAAATGATGGTCCTTTAGTCCTTTGGGAACCTTGGGAAACTGGGTAAGAATATGAGGTGCTTGATTTTTCCAATTTGTGGAGACCCTTGTATAGTAGGATGTCCACTATATGCCCGGGTGTACCATGAACACAGTGAAACTGTGCAACCACACCCATCAGTTGGATATATGTTCATTATTTACTGTTGTAATTGAACAGAAAAGATATCATTGGGTGTATAATGTGCATCCTCTAAATTTGCCAAGTCCAAGTTAATCTCAGCTAACTTCCATGTTGATGCTTTGGATTATGCATTGTTCTAATACAATATACTTTCTGCAGGAGAAAAGTGATGAAGAAAGCGATCCTGAACTAGCAAAGCGCCTCGGAAAGCAAAGGCGTAGGGCCATAGCATCTGCACATAGGAGGCAGCACCTGACCTCCAGAAATTCCTACAAAGATAAAGGTGGCAAATCGTCACAGAATTCCAAGATTCAGAAACAGTTAGGTGCTTGGTAGGAAGCTAAATAGTACAAAGTGTTAAAACTCCATGCTACTACGTAATCAGCCAGACATGAATCAGTTATACAACCTTCACAGTTGCAGCTTGTGATGTACGAAAATAGATAAATTAGTGATGATATCAAGACTTCTTAGTCTTGGATTAGTTGTCTTGGCCTCAAATAGAAAGCTTTTGCAATTGGATCCTTGTAAGTGTTGAAGAATAGTATATCTTACGGGCTAACAGTCTAATGCCCATTGTTGTAACATCTTTATTTTTACAAAAACAGCAGAGGGTCTTTTTAATTAGAAGTTTTTCATTCTTTTCTTCTCTCTACTGTTTGTTTTTAGTTTGAATGCACTAAACCAGGGCAAACATGCATATAGGCTCCTGCAAATATATATTACCCCGTAATCAACTGCTGTTTTGTTCCTTTTGGCAATGAGAACTAAGTTGAAGAACATCTGATACTACTTTGTTTTGCTAGGACTTAGGAGTAAAATGAATTAACAGTTTAATGTGCATGAAACTGCAGTCAGTCAAAATATTAAAATGCATTAGATTAGATTAGATTAGACCAAAATTGTTTATATCCTTATGTTAAACAGATTTATTTGACAAGTTACAAGTTATGGACAACAAACGAAGGCATAGAAAGAGAGGCATCTATAAAAGAGTTTATAGAAAGCCTTAAAGTTCTAGAGAAAGAACTAGGAGACCTGACTCATTTTATCTAGGGTCCGTATTGTATTGAGTAAGCGCATTTAGAGCTCGGAATCCCCTTACTTCACCATTACACCTCGGAATTCCCTTATTTCACCCATTGTTTTCAACTTCCCAAATACTTAATCTGTTCTATTTGTAAATATTGAACCAAATAAACAATAGAAAATTCGGGATTGAGTCATAGTCTAAGTTAACAAAGGCCCTCGTAAGAAAAAAAAAAAAAAAAAAAAGGGTGAAATTAAGGACATGGTCAATCACTTAACTACTACTTATGTCCAAAGGATAGAGGTGACCATGTATTCCATTGAAGCTGTCATTAACCTTGATTTTCTTCATTAACGTTCTCCATTGTTACTTGTGATTTTTCTAATTTAACATTCTTCACAAAGATCGACTCATATTTTCTCCTACTGTACGAGTACCCCATACGACCATACATACTACGTAGTATTTAGAGAGCCCGCCAAACCCCATAAACCAAATAAACTCACTAGAGCAACAGCAAAACAGAGAGAAAAAAAACCCAGAAAATAAAAGAAGTAGAAGAAAGAGTGATGCATGGATAGAGTAGCAGTAGCAAACGATTTGTCATTTCGGGTCGGGCTCACGGGTCACAGTGCCCATCTTTCCATCGAACCTCTTCCTCCGGTTCAATCCCACAATCCTCTTCACGACCTTCCTCAATTCATTCTTGTCGGTATTCTCTTTCTGATTATTTTGTTGATTTTTTAAATTTTTGTTTTGGAATTTCGTTTTAATTGAAGCAATCAAGGTCATGAATTTGTTTGCTGATCTTTGCAATTCTAGAAATACTGTAATTTTGATTCAGTTGTTGAGGGTTTAGGGTTTAAAATTGATTATGCTATGCAAAAGTTTTTTTTTTTTTTTTTTTTTTTTTTTTTTGGTATTTTAGTGATTTTGTTATAGTGTTATTAGGGTTTTAGCGGGCAATTGAAGTTTTTGGTAAATGTGATAGTGTGATGCTAATTGCTTTCTCATTGTGTGATATAGCTTTGTTCATTGTGCCCTAAACTGAGATGTAATTATAAGTATCTGAACTTGATCAGTGTGAATTTTGTAGTTACCATATTGAACGAGACGTACAACAAGAGGAAAAGTTTGTCGACAATTTACTCGTGATGTAAATAATTGAACACTAGAACTATATATTGCGGGGTCATAACTCATAAGTAATATACTGTATTATGTTTTCGTGGGTTGGGCAAGTTTTGCTTCAATTTCTTTATGTCAGTGATCTAAAAGAAATCCAATCAATGACTTAGTAGAATCGAACATAATTGATGTCCTTTCTCATCCATTGAAATTTTAAAGCCATTAGTTCTTCTAATTTGACAAATCGGGGAAATTGTTTTGTGATAGTTTATATTTTTTTTTCATGCTCCAACACCAACAGTCCATTTCTCAGGGTGCTGTAGGCTGACATACGCTGCCAAAATCAAAACATTCATCTTGGTATTTAATTATAACTCTATCAATTTCAGCCGCCTGCATTTCCTGAGGAAACAACAGAATCTATTAAGGAATATATAGAGGAAAAGTATTTAACACCAAGATTGGACCCCGATGAGTTCTCCCCTGAAAAAGCTGGAAGGGACTGGGATTTTGACTGGTTCAGCAAGGCCAAAATACCTGTGGAACCATCATTACCTCGGACAGCTGTGATTCCCGAATGGGAGCTGCCATTTAGGCGCCAAAAAGGACAAGAAAAAGGAATTTGGGAGCCTCAGTCCGTACAGGTGTGTCCTCTAACTTGCGTATCTAGTATCTTTGGTGTCAATAACGCATTCCTTTACAGGATGTGAATTTAGCTAGATATAGTAGAGGCTAAGTATTATGCTAAGGATGTGAACCACATCACTATGATGTTGTTACAACTGTGTTGTTTGTGACATAATCTTTAAGTTTGGTCCAATTTACTCTAGGTGGAGATTTCAGAATTAAATGCAGGGGTTGAGGACTCTAGTGCTTTGCCACGAATTACAGGGCCAGCAAAGGACTTTGTGAGGGGGAGCCTTCACAGTCGCCCTTTTCATCCAGGTGGGTTAGATGGATCTCAGTCTCTGCCCAGGGTTGTTCCTGAGGGTTCACTGAATGGTGACTGGATTCGCGAGGTTCTTGAGGGTGGTCCTGCGGAAAAAATTCCTCCAAGCTTTAAGCAAGGATTGGATTCCGGTGATCTTAAGGTAAGTTGAATTGCACTGTGTTTGAAAAATAAAGTATACTTATATATGGGTTGATAGTAAGAATTATGCTATTGTATTTGAGGGTAATCCAGTGTTTTTTTTTTTTTTTTGGGTGTGTGTGTGTGAAAAGTATTTATGATGTGGAGACAACTATATCTTACTGATTCTAAGACCTGTTTTGATTTATTAACTTTAGGCATATCCTTCTTCATGGAGTGTGAATGAGTGCCACGCTTCTCCAAAGGTTGTATCAGATGAGAAGCAGGTTAGTTGATGTTCAACATGCTGTCCTGAATTTGATAGTAGCTGGATTGCATCACTTTATTTATGAATATTTGGATTGTGAGTTTTCAAGTTCTGATGATTTGTTTGTTTAGTTGGCTTTCTTTTTAACTATTTTTTTCCCTGCAATTGAGATATAGGTCTTTGCAAGCTTGCCAGTTACAGTGGCTAAATCCTCATTGCTCTTTCTATTTGTAGAGTAAACTGTCACTGCAATTTGATGATATGTTCAAGAGAGCGTGGGAAGACGATTTTGCTGAAAAGGAAGAGTCTGATGGTATATATATGCTCTTTCCACCCCTTTTCACTCCACTTCAAGTAGGGTTCTTGATATGGCTAAATTCAAGTGTCTGTCCTCAATTAAGGTTGCTGATATTCTAATCTTCTCATCTTAGACAAAGATATATTGTGGTGAACAGCAAAAGTAAATTATGTGAACAACAAATAAAAGTAACCTATGAAAAGCATAACTCATTTTGCATACAGAAATTTCAAGTAATGGCGTATCAGTTGTGAGTACCATTGCTTGTACATTGGGAGATGAAGAAGCATATATAATTAAAATGTCATACACTTCACTTCAAGTATCTTTTTTGTGTACTCCCTCCGTTCTTTTTTGTTCTACTCACTTGTCATTGTTGGTCGTTCTTTTATGTTCTACTCACTTTGCTTTATTCTATTTATGGCATACCCCTCTTACCATCTTAACCTTTCAATCCCACAAAAATTACACCTTTCCATACACTCTCTCTTACTTTATTCACCTTTTTCTTACACGAACCCACCTATATACTTTCTCTCTCTTACTTTCTCTTTTAGCCACTCACATTCTTCAACAATTTCTTAAATTGCGTATTCATAGTAAGTGAGTAAAACATAAAAGAACGGAGGTGGTATCTAACAGCATTGGCAACCTTTTAGTCTTTGTCTTCGATTGTTTGATGCTTTACTCATGCATGGCCCAAAATCTTTGGCTTGTTAATCAAGGAAATATTAGTAGAACTGTAGAAGTAGAGAGGGGCTCTTTTATTTTATTTGTTTTTTTTTTTAACAAAATATTAGGTGACTGTATTGAAACTTTAAATCATCTACTTTTTTTTTTTTTTCTTTTTTTTGTTTTTATTAAACTTTCTGCCACTAGGCTTCACGATCATGCTAAATTTACTCTCTAATTTACTAAACAAGTATAGTTAGTACTTAGTAAGCATATCATGCTGTAGTGCTTATTAGAGCCTTTAGAGGAGTATTATACTGAACATTAGATTTATTAAGAATTGTATTGATCTTCCTAATCTTTTTTGTGACTGTGTATATATAAGTTTTACCTTTGAAGCCTGTCTTTTATTTTTATTTTGTACTTATCTGTGTCAAGAAAGGGTGGGGTTTGAAAGATAATATCAGTTGCATAATCTTTTATGTTTATCTTACTACATTCCACTACTAATAAAGAACCGTTGAACGATGATACTTTTACTTCCATTACCCATCTTTAGATTGTAGATAATAAAGAGACTTGAATTCAACAAAGTTGAGAGTCACTATTCGGTAATTCTTGGACCACAATGAACTATGCTTAAAATATAAATGTGTGAAGCAGGTAAATTTTTTGACTTTCATACAAGGGTTTAAAGAGAATAACCTCTTAGGCCCTCTTTGCGTGCACTTGCCAAATTTTTTACTAACTGCAGGCTTTAGCTTTTATAGAGGAACTGGTGTAACGGTATTGTATGGTAGAGCTTCAATATTAGTGAAAATGCTTTAAAATACAGCTGTTTAGTGTTGTTGCACCTGTCTATTATTATCTTCTTATTTTTTTTTTTTTTTTTCTGTCCACATTTCTATTCAGTCTGGTGTTTTTACTATACTTGTATTAACATCATTACTTTTTTGTAAGGTATTGAATCAGAAGCAGAGTCTAATGAATCAGAGATACAAGTCGATAAAACTGAACATGAAGATGATGTTCCAGATGTTAAATTATCGGAATTAGATCAGATTTTGTCTGTGGACTCTGCTGTGTTGGATACGAAGGCAGATGTGAAAAATGAAGAAGGTGACAATCAGGGTAAAGAGGTAAACTTTTGCCCATCCTTCACCAACCTGTTATTTTAGAAGTTGTACC